TGCACGAAATTTGGTACAGCCTAATCATTTAGGTCTAGAATGATGTCTGCCAAGTTTCGTAAAAATCGGTCCAGATTTAGATATAGCTCCCATATATACTTTCGTCCGATTTCATGTAAATGGTGCCCCAAAGTCCCTATATATGTTTCGATTTGCACGAAATTTGGCATAACGTACTGAATTGAGCCTAGAATGATGTCTGACAACTTTGGAGAAAATCGGTCAAGATTTAGATATAGCTCCCATATATAGTTTCGTCCGATTTCATGTAAATGGTGCACCAAAGCCCCTATATATCCTTCGATTTGCACGAAATTTGGCACAACGTACTTAATTGAGCCTAAAATGATGTCTGAAAAGTTTCATGAAAATCGGTTCAGATTTAGATAAAGCTCCCATATATAGTTTTGTCCGATTTAAGGTAAATGGTGCACCAAAGTCCCTATATATCATGCAATTTGCTTGAAATTTGGCACAGCGGACGGAATTAGGTCTAGAATGATATGTGCTATGTTTCGTGAAAATCGGTTCTGATTTAGATATATCTCTCATATATAGTTTCGTCCGATTTCATGTAAATGGTGCCCCAAAGTCCCTATATATCTTTCGATTCGCACGAAATTTGGTACAACCTAATCATTTAGACCTAGAATGATGTCTGCCAAGTTTCGAGAAAATCGGTCCAGATTTAGATATAGCTCCCATATATATTTTCGTCCGATTTTATGTAAATGGTGCACCAAGGTCCCTATATATATCCTTCTATTTGCACAAAATTTGGCATAACGTACTGAATTAAGTCTAGAAAGATGTGTGTTAATTTTTGTGAAAATCGGTTCAGATTTAGATATATCTCCCACATATACATTATATTTTTAACATCGCGGCGTACCGAATAGCGTGTATCGATTTTGCTATAAATCGATTTACACATACAATTGTTAGGATACATATGTAGAATATACCCAAAGTGGTGAAGGGTATCATATAGTCGGCCCAGTCCGACTTTACTACTTAGCTTACTGGTTTTTTTTTAGGGTCTACCAAATGTAAATACCCATTAAATTAAATCGCCATTTATATCCTCATCTACCGGCCCTAATGACCAAGTTTACCACGCATAAATCCTTAAGCAATTAAAACTAAACCGCAAGGCAATAGAAAAGAATGGCAATTCTTTATTTTCTCCCACCAAGTCTGTTTGCATTCGAAGTCGAGGCAGGGGTGCAGAGGTCGCTCATTAAATTGCATGGTTTTGTTGGTGTGCCTTGGTGTGCGCGATATAAATCGCGTTTTCAAATAAAACAAATGCGTGTAAAAACAATTGTCCTCCTGAGGGCAGTTTTTTTACGGCTAAAAAAATTCTAACGACTTTTGTGATTGTTCTTCGACTGCACTGGGAAAGACAGTCAGTCTTAAATGGTATTTTTTGTTGGGAGTTGTTGTTTTTGTTTTAGAAATTCATATATTATTGTAAGTGCATAAGTGTGAGTGTGTGGGTGGGTCTGGGTTTACAGTTTATAGGTGGTTAGATTGTGGCGGGACCACCACCATGCCATATTTACATGCAAATTATAATGTAATTCGTTTTTTGTTCTCAGTTAATGTTGGAGCTGAATTTTACCTCGCCGTGGAGGACATTCTGTAAATGTTGAGGTAGAAAATTTGTGTGTAAAACGTCAAAATAAACAATTGTTTTACGTGACGAGCCATTTAATCCAGAGATTTGTTAGAGATGTTATTTAACTATTTACCGACATTTAATTTGGGTGCTTTGGGGTAGACACGAAAGAAATATGTGGCATATTTATAGGCGTGGATTTGGAGAAAAAAATTTTTTCGAGGCATATTTATTGGAGTGGATTTTTTTTAAATTATTTTTATAGCATTTATATAGGCGTGGATTTTTGGAAAAAATATTGGAAGCCTATTTATAGGCTTGAATTAAAAAAAAAACAATTTTGAAGCGTATTTATAGGCTTCAATTAAAAAACCAGTAAGGAAAGTAGTAAAGTCAGACGGGGCCGACTATATGATACCCTTCACCACTTTGGTCATATTCAACAGATGAATCCTAACAGACGTCGCATTTTTAAAGAACCAGTAAAATGAAATTGGATCCATAAACATGTCATTCTGCAACCGATACATAATTTTTCATTAGGTCAGATATAGAAGCTATATCTAAATCTGCTCTGATTTTCACGAAACTTAACACACATCATTCTAGACCCAATTCATTACGCTGTGCCAAATTTCGTGCACATCGAAAGATATATAGGGACTTTAGTTGACCATTTACCTTAAATCGGACGAAAATATATATGGGAGCTATATCTAAATCTGCACCGATTTTCACGAAACTTAACACACTTCATTCTAGACCACATCACATCATTCTAGACCTACTTCATTACGCTGTGCCGAATTTCGTGCAAATCGAAAGATATTTAGGGACTTTGGTAAACGATTTAATTTAAATCGGACGAACATATATATAGGAGCTATATATAAATCTGCACCGATTTTCACGAAACTTAACACACATCATTCTAGACCTAATTCATTACGCTATGCCAAATTTCGTGTAAATCGAAAGGTTTTAAGGGACTTTGGTAAACGATTTACATTAAATCGGATGAAAATATATATGGGAGCTATATCTAAATCTGAACCGATTTTCAGGAAACTTGAAACACATCATTCTACACCTAATTCATTACGCTGTACAAAATTTCGTGCAAATCGAAAGATATTTAGGGACTTTGGTAAACGATTTAATTTAAATCGGACGAAAATATATATGGGAGCTATATCTAAATCTGCACCGATTTTATCGAAACTTAACACACATCATTCTAGAGCTAATTCATTACGCTGTGCCAAATTTCGTGCAAATTGAAAGGTATATAGGGAGTATAGTGCACCATTTACCTTAAATCGGACGAAAATATATATGGGAGCTGTATCTAAATCTGAACCGATTTTCACGAAACTTAACTCACATCATTCTACGCCTAATTCATTACGCTGTACCAAATTTCGTGCAAATCGGAAGATATTTAGGGACTTTGGTAAACGATTTACGATATCTAAATCTGAACCGATTTTCAGAAAACTTAACACACATCATTCTAGACCCAATTCATTACGCTGTGCCAAATTTCGTGCAAATCGAAAGATATATAGGGACTGTGGTACACAATTTACCTTAAATCGGACAAAAATGTATATGGGAGCTATATCCAAATCTGGACCGATTTTCAGGAAATTTAACACACATTATTATAGAACTAATTCATTACGCTGAGCCAAATTTCGTGCAAATCGAAAGATATTTAGGGACTTTGGTACACCATTTACCTTTAATCGGACAAAAATATATATGGGAGCTATATCCAAATCTGAACCGATTTTCAGGAAACTTGAAACACATCATTCTACACATAATTCATTACGTTGTGCCAAATTTCGTCCAAATCGAATGATATATAGGGACTTTGTTGCCACATTTACCTTAAATCGGACAAAAATATATATGGGAGCTATATCCAAATCTGAACCGATTTTCAGGAAATTTAACACACATTATTATAGAACTAATTCATTACGCTGTACCAAATTTCGTGGAAATCGAGAGATATATAGGGACTTTAGTGCACCATTTACCTTAAATCGGACGAAAATATATATGGGAGCTATATCCAAATCTGAGCCGATTTTCAGGAAGCTTGAAACACATCATTCTACACATAATTCCTTACGCTGTACCAAATTTCGTGCAAATCGAAAGATATTTAAAGACTTTGGTAAACGATTTACCTTAAATCGGACGAAAATATATATGGGGCTATATCTAAATCTGAACCGATTTTCAGGAAACTTGACACACATTATTCTAGACCTAATTCATTACGCTGCACCAAATTTCGTGCAAATCGAAAAATATATAGGGACTTTACCTTAAATCGGACGAAAATATATATGGGAGCTATATCCAAATCTGAACCGATTTTTAGGAAACTTGACACACATAATGCATATATCGACTCAGAAAGTGCATATTCACAAAAGGAACCATGTGTCTATCTCGTTTCCTTTTGCCTGTTACAAGCATATGCACAAAGACATACCACAGATTGTTGAAGGGTATAAAATGTATATGGGGACTACCCCTATAAAGGGGTGACTAGTAATAATTTTTGGTGGCGAGATTTGTTACCATATACGACTACAAAATACCAAATTTCAGCGAATTCGTTTGAAAAACGCGCTCAAGAACCTCAAAATATCGAAAATTGGGACTACCCTTATATGGGGGTTACCGGAAAAAATTATCCTATATTTATAATTTTTTGTGGAGAGATTTGCTACCCAATAATAACTTAAATTACCGAATTACCAAATAGACCGATAAATCCCATCCTCGAACTTAACCTGCCTGCAGACAAAAGGCAAAATTTTGGCGATCTATCTCAATTTGTTTAGACGCTAGAGTGATTACAACAGACAGACGGACGTGGCTATATCGTCATAGAATTTTACGCTGATCAAGAATATATATACTTTATAGGGTCGGAAGAGCCTATCAATAAGCGAGGATTTTTTCAAATTATTTTTGGAGTCCTATCAATAGGCGTGGATTTTTTAAATATTATTTTTTAAGGCCTATCAACAGGCGTGGATTTTTTTTTTGAGTTATGTTTGGAGGCCTATCAACCGGCGTGGATTTTTTTTTGAGTTATGTTTAGAGGCCTATCAATAGGCGAGGATTTTTTTTCAATATTTTTTAGGAGGCCTATCAATACCCGTTGATATTTTCAAATTATATTTGAGACCTTTAATTTAAAAAAATAAAATAAATAATTTTTTTTTTTAATTTTTATTACACAATTATTTATGTTAATTGTATAAAAAAAACGATTTAACAGACATTCATAATTCCTGAATTCCGTTTACCGATAACCCTTAACGCTTTGAGGGATCTCTATTTGCTGTGTTTATTTGCATTTACTGCACTCCTCTTCGCCATCACAAATATCACAGAGTTTCGATTCAACTTCATAAAACTCGGTTGCCTTCTTATTCGAATCGTAAAAATCGTAGACTTGGATGGCAGCAGGTTTTTGCATGGCAACAGCATGGACACGAATGCCCTCGTAGAGAATGCAAGTCTTTTGATTCTTATACAAATGATCGAAGTAGATCACCAGCAGCGAGTTGGAATTTTCCAATTCGACGTTCTGAAAATAAAAACGGGAGAAAATAAAATTATTAATGGGAACATTATTTTGAAAAAATATTTTTTTTTCAAAATCCAAAAAATTATTAAAAAAAAATCCACACCAAGGCCTCCAAAAAATTTTCTTTAAAAAATCCACGCCTATAAATACTCTTCGAAAAATCCTCGTCCTGTATAGTTCCCGCAAAAATATTTTGCAAAAAATTCTCGTTTTGTAGGTCTTTCAAAAAATATTTATATAGGTTTTTTTTCTTTCATAATACTTACACCAACTCTCTTCGCCTTCTTGATGGCGGGCAGACTGTCATCTTCCACCACATATCCCGAGGGGGTATTAATTTCCAACACCGCCATATTCGAAGCTTCACCCTCGCCCTTATATTCCACACAGACATTCATTAGGAGAGCGGTTTTTTGGCAGGCGTTTTGTTTCTCGGTGGTAATCTCAAAACTGGTCTGTTCCTTTTCCAGGGTATTATATTGATAGGCAATTTGGACCATGGCCGCGCCACTACCCTTGGCTGAGAACTCCGCGGATTTGGTTTTATCAGGCAACTGAAAAAAAGAGGAACAAAATCATAACGTTCTTGGATCGAATTTCATCCTGTTTGGACTTACCTCCACATTTTGATAGATAATAGCATTTTCCTTGGTGAGCTTGAGGGTTTCCTGTTTATCTTTGTCGGCACCCTTGGAGGCTATGTCCACGACCATTTTTGCCGGGTCATAGTCAGCTAATTTGGCGAATTTTATGAGAGCCTGTAGACCCACCACAGTGTTCTGGGTGGAGTCAAAACCACCATTGCTATTACGCTGGGAAATGATCCATCTAATTATGGGCAAAATTTCATCCATATTTGGTGAGGGTTGATTGAGCAGGGTTAGCAGGGCATAAGAGCTAATTTCCACATCAATGCTATTGACAAAAGGATTTAGTGGCCCATCCCAAGTGGACCACACTTTACGATCACCATCAGTTTTGACCAATGAATTCAATTTTGTCAACTTCTCAGGGGCCTTGGCGTGGTGGGCCCTATCCAGGGTATAGGTGGCAATTGCCAGGGCATGAAGGGATTCAGATTTTTCCGAATTCTCATTAATGAACTCCAAACCCTTTGTGATTTCTTGCGAATATTTCTCAGCATAGGACTTATTTTCCAGTAAGGTCAAGAGAACCGAACATGTGAGGTACACAAGATTGGCTTGATCCGCATTGAAGAAGTCATCATTTTTTTCGGTAAATGAACCATTTTTGGCTTGTTGGTCGACCAAGTATTCCAAGGAGTCTTCAATGATTTTTAGATCAACTTTTTTGTACTCCTGCAATAGGATTAGGGATCTGGCCACATAGGCTGTCAGCAAGGTAGAACCATAATCTCGTTTATCAGGTCCAAACGAGCTAAAGGAGCCATCAGTATGAAGATAGTTGAGCATCTTTTGGTAGCCAGTATTCATGAAGAAACGTAACTTCATTTGTATATAGCTGGTCAGGCGTTTGGTGTCCTAGGGAGGACGGAGAATGAGGATGATTAAAAAAGTGAACCTCATGTGGACAGGGCCGAACTTACATATAAATATTTCAAAATCAAATAACTAGACAGCAAGGTGGACATAGTCTGTTCCCCGTTACTCTTTTGTAGGCGTACCAAATTATCGAGATTATGGGCGACAGGACCCAAAATATCACCCACAACCCCGACCTCAACATGTAGCGAATCGGGTATAATCTCCGCAGGTATTTCCAATTCAAAGGACGATTTCATTTCCGCTCCCTTGTTGAGATTGACGAAGAAGGCCCGATTACCATATTTGGTAACGCCTTCGGGTACAACCTTCATCGATTTGTGGATGGCATCACCGGCCACAGGAGAAATGGCGGTGTACTTCAACATGACATTACCCAAAACTTTTGGGCGGATCATAAAGGCAACTCCGGCGGCACCCATAGCAGGTACTCGAACCATCTTCGTACGTGATTGATCGCCAATTACTTCGTTGGTGATTTCAGTAAATTCAAATTCATTGCCGCTATTATCCAAGGTGACCTCAACATCGAGGGTTTTGTCCAAATAATTGAAGACCAGGGCGGGGATATTGATGACCTCACCTGGAAAAATTTAAAAAAAAATATTTTTTTTATTTTCAAAAAATCCACGCATTACATAGAACCTCGAAAAAATAATTTTAAAAAATTAACGCCTTGTTGTGACCCTCCAAAAATTAATTTCAAAAAATCATTGAAAAAATATTTTTAAAATATCCCTTTGGTGCGACCACAAAAAATGAATCTTAAAAAATTCATGACGTGGTTGAGACATTCAAAAATATTTTTTTAAAAATTTATCCATTCTCACCTCTCTTAACGGAATATGGCAGCCGTATGGAAATGAAAAATGGTTTGAAGGTGGTAATCTTTGTTTCTTCGCCAGTCACTGCCAAACCTTTTTCACTGTTCATAGCAAAGCCGGTCAACACCCATGAGGTAATGGTATCGGGTATTTTCTTGGACCAGGTAAATTCTTCCTTGTCAGTGCTACAGGAAAAACAAAGAAATCAGTTTTTAAAAAATTTTCTCCAACAAAATATCATCCCACCACCACATACTTTTCAATATTATCAAATATCCAGGTCTCAGCAAAATCTTTGCGAACCTGTATGGGTTCAGGTTCATTCGAAGGTTTGGCGCTAGGGCCATCGTCTGAACTTTGCTGGCCATTTGGTGTATAATTTAGTGGTGAATTTAGGGGGCTATTTGACAAATCATCCGATGGTGTAGAATCCGTTTCAGCGGTCCGATCATAGATATAATCACCATTTGTCAGGGTAATACAACCGGATTTGGAACCAGGATAATAAGAAGAGGCAACCTCATTAGGGGTTTGTGTGACATATGAAGCCACAATATCGCGCAATTCATTGGCACGAATGTCATTGTTCGATCCCAATAGCAGGACACTTTGATCCACCGCCCTGAGGCCCACAAACGAGTTGGGGGCAGTTTTAATTTTCAAGGCGACTTCCTGGCCTGGTTTGACCTGGTCAGCAGCAGTGACGGTGATCTGGAAAGAAAGACAAAAACAAAAAATTATAAAAATAATTAAAAAAAAAAAAATCCGCGCCAAAGGCTATGCCCTCAGAAGTTAATTAAAAAAAATAGTGCCCGTTTGAAGACTTGGTGTTTCATTATAAAAGAGGTTATGCCTAATTAAGGGCCGATATAGCTCAAGTTCCAAGCTAATAATTTAGTTTTGAATCCCAATGTATCATTTAGTTAAAATCGGGAGAATATGTATATGGTAGATCTATCCAAATTTGAACTGATTTCAACAACAACTTCCATATGCTAGGTTATCAATCCCACGGCGGCGGGTTCTACGATACCGGATTGACCCGATTTATTTCGGCCAGCGGCTGCCAACCCAGTTATATATGTTTGTATTGTTTTTCTGTTTTGGGAGCAACATATCCCGGAATGCTTGCTCCGGATTCTTTTGGTCCGTGCCGGGATCGAACAAAACCCCGGACCGTGGTTCTGTTCGGTTTGCCAGAACATCATTCACCACAGGTCAGTGTCGGTGAGATGTAATGGGTGCAGGGAGTGGGTGCACTTCAGGAATTGTTCCGGGTTGGCCCGGTTACGAGATTACAGCGATAGGGATTACGTTGCCTCGTGCTGCGACAGCGCTATCCCCAGTGAGTCTTCGTCTACGTCGTCGTCTTCTTCGTCGGAGTACGGAACTCCACCGCAGTCTCCTGAACAGCAACCAAGTATGCAGCACTTAACACCTCACGTTGCTGTTCCCACCCCTGATAGTGCATCGTTTCTGCAATTTAATTGCAACGGTCTCCGAGGAAAAATAGATGAGATAGTGGATTTCATGAATCGGAAGAATATTTTGGTCGCGGCGGTGCAGGAAACCAAGCTCAATGAAAATTGTAGCCTACAGCGTTGTGATGGTTACAACGTTCTGAGGAAGGATCGCACCAGAAGTGGAGGTGGAGGCCTAGCATTCCTTATGCACCACTCTGTTCAATACAGGCCTATCTCGCTTGAGCTTGACTCTAGTGACCCATACATGGAATGTATGGGGGTAGCAGTTAAATGTGGTACTGCCGAGGTAGAGGTGCTTAACGTGTATATACCGCCGATTAACAGCTGTGAACCGCGTTATTTGCCCAATATTAGTTTTCTATTGGAGGGCAATAACCGCCTGGTGCTAGGGGACTTCAATGCCCACCATGAGTTGTGGCATTCCGTCCTAGGTAATGACCAGAGGGGATCAGTGCTGGCAGAGCAAATTGATAGCTCCACGTTTTGCACGGTAAATGAGGATGCCCCCACCAGAATAAGGGGAGAGTGTCACAGTTCGCCAGATATAACCATCGTGTCACCGGGTCTGATAAATGACGTCAGCTGGCAGCCCGTCATTTCTCTTGGATCAGACCATCTCCCCATAATCGTCTCCATCAGCAGACCGCCCGATTTCGTCATCTCTGAACGCCGCACTTTCCTTAACCATAGGAAAGCTAACTGGCAAGGTTTCAGAGAGTTCACCAACCAACGCTTCAGAGAACTTTCCATTCCTTCTGATGTACGGGTAGCAGAAAGGAAATTCCGAGGCATCATCACTGCTGCAGCTGCTAGATTTATACCTGCTGGTCGAATACCCGAGATGAGACCCAATTTCCCAGCAGAAGCAGTTGGTCTGGCAAACGAGCGTGATGAGCTCCGTCGATCTAACCCAGCAGATCCCAGGGTCAGGGATCTCACGTTGGAGGTCAGCAGATTAGTCGCGGAGCACAAGCGGAATAGATGGTTGGAGCACCTGAAGAGTTGCAACATTGGTACCGGAGTAAGTAAACTGTGGGCAACGGTTAAGTCGCTCTCGAACCCTGGTAAAAAGGATGATAGGACCTCAGTCACATTTAACGACGAAACTGTGACTGATCCGAAGAGATGCGCAAGTCATTTTAACCGACAGTTTGTCGAGCATCCCGAGAGCGACAGGGCGAAGAGAAGAGTACTTCGTCGTATAAGATCTCTTCCAGCCGAGGAGGTACCACCACAGTTTACGATGGGTGATGTTGCATATGTCATCCGTAACGCGAAGTCATCTAAAGCGTTGGGCCCAGATGGAATATCTATGTGTATGCTGAAGCAGCTGGACGAGCCAGGAGTCGAGTACTTGACCAACGTCCTCAACTTGTCGATAGCCACCCACGTCGTCCCCGAAGCCTGGACTATGGGCAGGGTGGTCCCGCTACTGAAGCCGGGCAAGGATGCCAGCAAAGGTGAATCGTACAGGCCGATTTCACTTTTGTCGCCAGTAGCGAAGACCCTTGAGGCTTTACTCCTCCCCAGCATTAGAGAAAGCTATCCAGTTGCGGATCATCAACATGGATTCCGTAAGCAACATAGTACAACAACAGCGTTGCACGCCATTTCCACGCATATAAGTAGAGGACTTAACCAGAACCGGCCGTGCGATAGAACAGTGTTGGTAGCGCTTGACCTATCAAAAGCCTTTGATACTGTCAGCCATGCCACGCTGTTTGAGGACATTGAGAACACTTCCCTCCGGCCGAGTTTGAAACGTTGGATAATCAACTATATGTGTGGACGCCAGTCGTACGTGGAGTTCCGGAACAAGAAGTCTAAACCCCGTAGAGTTAAACAGGGAGTTCCCCAAGGTGGAGTGATTTCTCCGGAACTGTTTAATCTCTACCTTTCCGGTATTCCACGCCCTCCGGACGGCATAGAAATCGTTACGTATGCAGATGATTGTACGATTATGGCGTCGGGTCCCATTGTTGATGACATATGTGTGAGGTTGAACGCATATCTCATCGATTTAGCAGCTTTCTTCAAAGCGAGGAATATGAAAATATCCGCCTCGAAGTCGTCAGCCACACTTTTCACCACATGGACTGCGGAGATGAGAATGCCGTTGAATGTGCAGGTCGAGGGGCATACAATTCCGACCACCAACTACCCCAAAATACTTGGGGTCACATTTGACAGCATGTTCAAATCGTCCGCGCATACCACAGCTATCTGCGATAAGCTGAAAAGTAGGAACAAGGTCCTCAAGTCGCTTGCCGGCAGCACTTGGGGCGCAGATAAGGAAACCTTGTTGACCTCTTACAAAGCGATAGGTCGGTCTGTGGCTAGCTATGCGGTTCCAGTGTGGTCTGCGAATTCCAGTGATACGCAATGGAGAAATATTCAGACCTGCCAGAATGCCGCCCTGAGGACAGCGACAGGGTGCCTCCTCATGACACCAGTGGACCATCTTCATGAGGAGACGAAGATCCTTCCCGTACGTCAGCATAGCAATATGCTTTCGTTGCAGTACCTGCTTGGGTGTTTCAGGGACGATCATCCCAACCATTACATGGTGGATAGGACTCCCCCGCCCAGGCGTGTCAGGAAGGATCTGCATGATCTAGAGAGAGAGGTCCAACGATACAAAAGGGAGCCTCTAGATCAAGTTGCCTATCGAGCGGGTCTGAATGGCATTCATACAGATGCAGTAGCCGCAGCGCTGAACGGTTACAAAGTGAATGCCGTCCTCGGAGCTCACCCCCCACCCATAGCAGCTGAAGAACGTCAGCTGCCCAGACAAACCAGAGTAGTTTTGGCTCAATTACGTTCTGGATGGTGCAGTCGGCTCAATTCGTATTGGGCGCGGATTGATGACCAGGTGCTAGATGTCTGCCCAGCAAGTGGTACAGGCCCTCATACCACACTGCACTTGTTCAATTGCCCAGCCAAACCTACTCACCTTACTCCGGAAGATTTGTGGCTACAGCCAGTGGAGGTAGCTGCATTCCTAAATCTGGAGACAGAACCGGAGGAAACATAACAGGAAACATTCAATACATATAAACTGCTACAACAACAACAACATATGCTAGGTTATATTAACTTTAGTACGTTGTACAAAATTTTGTGTCTATCGGCCTAATGTTGGGTCTTTGGTGTACCATTTAACTAAAATCGGACGAAACTATATATGGGAGCTATTGGAACCGATTTATACAAAACTTGGCAAACGTTAGGCAATATTAATTTCGGTACGTTGTGCAAAATTTGTAGCAAACGGCCTTTTGTGCACCTTTTACTTAAAATCGGACGAAACTCTATCTAGGAGCTATATGTAAACCTGAACCGATTTCAACAATACTTGTCACACATTATGTTATATTATCTTCCGTACGTTGTGCAAAATGATGTGCCAATCGGAACCACCTGGGGAATTCGGTGCAGAATTTATATCTAATTTCGTTGTGCCAAATTTTTGTGTCAATGTTGTATAAAATCGGACGACAATATATATGGGAGCTATATCTAAATCTGAACCGATTTTCAGGAAACTTAACACACATCAATTAAGAACTAATTCAGTACACTATGCCAAATTTCGTGCAAATCGAAAGATATATAGGGGCTTTGGTGTACCATTTACCTTAAATCGGACGTAAATATATATGTGAGCTATATCTAAATCTGAACCGATTTTCACGAAACTTAGCACACTTAATTCTAGACTTTATTCAGTACGCTATGTAAAATTTCGTGCAAATCGAAAGATATATAGGGACTTTGGTGTACCATATACCTTAAATCGGACGTAAATATATATGGAAGCTATATCTAAATCTGAACCGATTTTCAGGAAATTTAACACATATCGTTCTAGGCTTAATTCAGTACACTATGCCATATTTCGTGCAAATCGAAAGATATATAGGGACTTTGGTGTACCATTTACATTAAATCGGACGTAAATATATATGGGAGCTATATCTAAATCTGAACCGATTTTCAGGAAACTTAAAACACATCATTATAGACCTAATTCAGTACGCTATGCCAAATTTCGTGCAAATCGAAGGATATATAGGGACCTTGGGCCAAATACGTGACCTGTGCCAAATTTCATCTAATTAGGATCATAAATGCGACCTGTACCTTGTTTACAATTTAACATGGACAGACAGACGGACGAACATGCATCAAGAACCTCAAAATACCGAAAATTTGGGGGTACCCTTATATGGGAGATATGCCTAAACGTGTACCGATATATCCCATCTTCGAACTTGACCTGCCTGCAGACAAAAGACGACTCTATGCAAAATTTTGGCGATCTATCTCAATTCGTTTAGACGCTAGAGTGATTACAACAGACGGACGGACGGACATGCTTAGATCGTCATAGAATTTTACGCTGATCAAGAATATATATACTTTATAGGGTCGGAAATGATTGTTTCGATGCGTTACAAACGGAAAAACAAAACTAAGATACCCTCCATACTATGGTGGAGGGTATAAAAAATTAACGTCCCTTAAAACAGCCACGTCTATTGTTGGTCTCTTAAAAAATCCCCACCTATGTTGAGGTGTCCGAAGAATATTTTTTAAAAATCCAAACCTGTGTGGAGACCTCCAAAAAATATATATTTTGTTTTTAAATCTGCTGGACTCCTTACCTTATTTTCCAATTCATAATCAATGTAGTAGGTACCCTCCGCATAGTGATATTCACCCTGCTCATCAATATAATAAATATAAATCGAGAACTCGGGAGAATACACCAATTCCGGAGTGATGGTGATATTGTGCACCATGGGCTTCTGAGGTAAATCAATATGTACCGTCTTCACAATATTACCCCGGGCAATAACATTAAAATCCAAATAGGCCAGGGGTTTGCTGGAGTTTACTGTGAAATGTTCGGCCTGGAATAATTTGGGCCTAGAAATGAGGGAAAAATGTGTGTTATTTTTAGGTCTATTTACAGGGTCTTCATAACCTACATGTTATTGTCAGATTTACCCTCAATTTTAAACCATTCCTTGGGCAACTCCTCTGCTGGAGTATCCACTATTTTGGGTTCCTTGCCTGTCGATACCGAATAGGCACCACCGACTTTACGTTTTTCATCCCGATATTTGGCCTCAATGACATAGAAATGGAAGCAGTTCTCATATTCCTTCAGATCGCTTAGCTTCACCTTGAAGGTTGCAAAACCCATTTCATTCATAAAACCTTTGAAGCTGTAAGTGAGATTTTCCGAAATCGGTGGCATTAGGGTCGTTGTCACCTCCTCATCCTCCATGTACCCGGGCTGCCAATAATTATTTTGTAAAACCTCAGTGTATATCAATTCCACTGGGGTCTTTGTGTCCTTCAAATGCGAACCATCCACATAGGTCAACTGAATCATTACCTCCATTTCCTTATCCGGCTCAAAGAATATGCATTCATTTTCATCGACACGACAATGCATGGCATAGCGGTAGGGGTAGATCTGGGTACGGGTGGTGGTGTTGATTTTCACCCCTGTAAATTCCTCTTCCACGGTGGCCACAATACTGGCATAGGTGGAATATTCTTTGCTATGCAAATAGGCCTCCAGCTCCTTGACATTCAGATCAATCTTGGCCTTGCCTTGGATCATAGCTCCGGTGTGGATAATGCTGGGTGGTTGTTCTTGTTCATTTTCAGAATTTTCATTTGCGTAGACGGGATAGTCATGCAGGCTGAGGATAACGGTGGCTTTACCGTTCACGGGCTTGCCATATGTGTAGCTAAGGAAATAATTTATTAGTATCGAGTGTCATCCTCCCCCCTCCCGCAAAAATTACTTACCTGGCCCGAACAATAACCAGCATATCACCATCCCTAACGGACACCGACCACGGAGCCTCAATCTTGACCTCATATTTCGGCAGGATATATTTATTGACCTCAAAGAACACGGCATAATCCTCTTGGCCCCAGCTGGACACGACCACTTGCCAAATACCCATCACCGGAAATTCGGAAATTTTAAATTGTCCCGTATAGACCCCCTTGACCACTTTGAAATTCTTCACTTCCTCAATGCGATTTAGATTACCATCTGCTAACCAGATGAGGGTGTTCTTTTTCGGCACAGCTGGTTTCAAATCCTTATCCAAAAACAATACCCGATAATTGATGATGTCTCCAGGTTTATACTGACCCTTGTCGGTTTGTATCTGAACGTAGGTTTTAAATTTGGCAAACATCAATGCAGTGGAATTTTTAAAATTCTCCAGACAATTAATACCCTCAGCTGTTAGTTTGTATGTACCCTCAGCCAAGGTGGGTACTGCGAACTCGACTTCTTTTATTTCCGAACCTGTGACCTCAACAATTTTACTTTCTTTAAAGGAGCGGCCTGTAATGCCCACCTTTATTTGGCATGCAGAGTCCACGTGATGTACGGCCACAGCTGCCGTGTATTTGTCATTGGAGTGTATGGTACCGGGAGCGATAACGGTATATTTGCTATAAGAAAAGTGAAGAAGAAGAAGAAATACAGATTAGAAATCTGAGGTTGCTTGTTGAAAATAAAATGATCGTAGGAGGCAAATGTTAAAATATTAAAAAAAAATAAAAAAGGTTGCGTTATAAGTGACGGACTGATCATCAACGCCCAGACGAGGTTCGCGAGTACAGCTTGAAATAAATGCGGAGTAAGATCTGAGATTTTCTTAAAGAGTTTGTAACGCCGCGAAATATTGGCCATAGATTTACTCCTGAAGGACATATACTCTAGATGGTAATAGTATATCCTAGAGGATTGGTTGACCTTTAAATTTGATATCAATTATATTGTCTTATGTACTCGGATGTGGGAGTTACACTTAAATATTTAAAGGTGCTCACGTATTCAGATATTATTTAGTAACCCATTATCACACGAGAGGGCGGAAAAAAAGCGCTGATCGCTTTGAAATTTTCGATGAAATTCCAGATATGGTCAAGGACAACGCCTATAATTTTCGGTGATGATCAGATAAAAATTTTGGGATAAATTGGACCGAAAACTTAATTTGTTTGTTTGTTTTTCGAGTCGATCTATAGGCCACACTTCTAAAACGAATATCATACACAAGCCAAGGTGAAGGGAATCTGGACAAGTAATTAGATGGGCTGTACTGAATATTAGTAATATTTGTTGACCTCTAGTCGGTTGAAATGATATAGGACCACAGAAAGTTAGATTTGCGTGGAAGTTGTGTAGGGTATCATATGGACGGCACCGTCCGGCTATACTGCTCCGCTCACTGTTTTTTTATACACTTCACCACACTGACCACAGGGTATTATGTCTTTGTACATTTGTTTGTAACAGGCAAAAGGAAACGAGATAGACACATGGTTCCTTTTGAGAATATGCATAGAATCACTTTTTATGTCGATTTATGTATGTCCTTCCGTCCGTCCGTCTGTCTGTCCATGTTAAATTGTAAACAAAGTACAGGTCGCATTTATGATCCGAATTGAATGAAATTTGGCACAGCTCATTTGTTTGGTCCAAGGATAAACCCTATTGAAATTGGGAAAAATCGGTTCAGATTTAAATATAGCTCCCATATATAGTTTCGTCCGATTTAAGGTAAATGGTGCACCAAAGACCCTATATATCATTCGATTTGCACGAAATTTGGCATAGAGTACTGAATTAGGTGCAGAACTGTGTGTGCCAAGTTTCGAGAAAATCGGTTCAGATTTAGATATAGCTCCCATGTATAGGTTCGTTCGATTTAAGGTAAATGGTGCACCAAAGTCACTATATATCATTCGATTTGCACGAAATTTGGCATAGAGTACTGAATTAGGTCCAGAATGATGTGTGCCAAGTTTGGAGATAATCGGTTCAGATTTAGATATAGCTCCCATATATAGTTCCGTCTGATTTAAGGTAAATGGTCCACCAAAGTCCCTATATATCATTCGATTTGCACGAAATTTGGCACAGCGTACTGAATTAAGCCCAGAACGACGTGTGTTAAATTTCTTGACAATCGGTTCAGATCTAGATATAGCTCCCATATATAGTTTCGTCCGATTTAAGGTAAATTGTGTACCAAAGTCCCTATATATCATTCGATTTGTACGAAATTTGGCACAGAATACTGAATTAGGTCCAGAATGATGTGTGCCAAGTTTGGAGAAAATCGGTTCAGATTTAGATATAGCTCCCATATATAGTTTCGTCCGATTTAAGGTAAATGATGCACCAAAGTCCCTATATATCATTCGATTTGCACGAAATTTGGCATAGAGTACTGAATTAGGTCCAGAATGATGTGTGCCAAGTTTGTAGATAATCGGTTCAGATTTAGATATAGCTCCCATATATAGTTCCGTCTGATTTAAGGTAAATGGTCCACCAAAGTCCCTATATATCATTCGATTTGCACGAAATTTGGCACAGCGTACTGAATTAAGCCCAGAACGACGTGTGTTAAATTTCCAGAAAATCGGTTCCGATTTAGATATAGCTTCCATATATAGTTTCGTCTGATTTAAGGTAAATGGTCCACCAAAGTCCCTATATATCATTCGATTTGCACGAAATTTGGCACAGCGTACTGAATTAAGCCCAGAACGACGTGTGTTAAATTTCTTGACAATCGGTTCAGATTTAGATATAGCTCCCATATATAGTTTCGTCCGATTTAAGGTAAATTGTGTACCAAAGTCCCTATATATCTTTCGATTTGCACGAAATTTGGCACAGAATACTGAATTAGGTCCAGAATGATGTGTGCCAAGTTTGGAGAAAATCGGTTCAGATCTAGATATAGCTCCCATATATATTTCCGTCCGATTTAAGGTAAATGGAGCTCAGAGTCCCTATATATCTTTAAATTTGCACGAAATTTGGCATAGAGTACTGAATTAGGTCCAGAATGATGTGTGCCAAGTTTGGAGATAATCGGTTCAGATCTAGATATAGCTCCCATATATAGTTTCGTCCGATTTAAGGTAAATGATGCACCAAAGTCCCTATATATCATTCGATTTGCACGAAATTTGGCATAGAGTACTGAATTAGGTCCAGAATGATGTGTGCCAAGTTTGGAGATAATCGGTTCAGATTTAGATATAGCTCCCATATATAGTTCCGTCTGATTTAAGGTAAATGGTCCACCAAAGTCCCTATATATCATTCGATTTGCACGAAATTTGGCACAGCGTACTGAATTAAGCCCAGAACGACGTGTGTTAAATTTCCTGAAAATCGGTTCAGATTTAGATATAGCTCCCATATATAGTTTCGTCCGATTTAAGGTAAATTGTGTACCAAAGTCCCTATTTGGCATAGAGTACTGAATTAGGTCCAGAATGATGTGTGCCAAGTTTCGAGAAAATCGGTTCAGATTTAGATATAGCTCCCATATATAGTTTTTTTTTCGATTCTATGTAAATGGTGCACCAAAGTTCCTATATACCTTTCGATTTGCATGAAATTTGGCACGGCGTACTAAATTAAGTCTAGAACGATGTGTGCAAAGTTTCGTGAAAATCGGTTCAGATTTACATATAGCTCCCATATATAGCTTCGCCCGATTTTAGGTAAATAGTCCAATAAAGACCCTGGAAATGTTTTGATTTGCACGAATTTTGGTATAGGGTACTGAATTAAGTCTAGAATGATGTTGCTAAGCTTCGTGAAAAGATCCATAGCTAGGCCGATTGACACAACGTACTGAAGTTATATAAATTAGTCTCTGGCAAGTTTCCCTGAAATCGGTACAGATATAGAAATACAACAAAAACGCGTCGTCTGTTAGGATACATATGTAGAATATACCCAAAGTGGTGAAGGGTATCATATAGTCGGCCCAGTCCGACTTTACTACTTTCCTTACTGTTTTTTTTTTTTTTTTGTAATTTGAATTTAGCCTTGCCTTGTTTTTCGAGTCAAACAACACAACCTTCGAGTCAAACATCATAACACAACCTACGGTGATGGGAATCTGGACAATTAATTTGAAGGGCTGTACTGAATATGAGTGATATTCGGAAAATATGTCCTTGGAAGGAAGAGGTGCTGTTGACAACTAATCGGGCTGGAGGGAGCAAATATCACAAACATTTCTCAAGTTCGAAATAAACATCCGCAGAAAGTTAGAGTTCCGTGGTAGTTGTCCGACTATACTGCTCCGCTCACTGGTTTCATAATCATTACGATAGTAAATATGTTAATTAATAGGCAAAACAAACTAATAAAATTGAAAATAGATTACAAAACAAAGCTCCAAATTAATAAAATTAAAAACGAAAGCAAAAAAACAAAAAAAAAAAAACATTTTGGGTACATCACAAGTTCGTTGGCTATAACAGCTGTAAATCCGCTAAACCGCAACAAAGTTGCTAACGACTCAAAAACCAGTTATTAGCCAGTGATTTAATCACATAATGACAACTATAAAAAAATTATCTACAAAAATCCACGCCTAAAAATTATTTTAAATTTTAATTTATTTTAAATAGCAACGCCACTTATAAGGCCTCGAAAAAATTGTTTTAAAAAATCCACGATTAACAAGGCTTCGAAAAAATATTTTTCGAATATCTAAGCCGATATAAAGCCGAAATATTTGTAAACCCGTGAGCGGAGCAGTATAGTCAGACGGAGCCGACCATATGATACCCTACACAATTTCCATGAAAATCTAATTTTCTGCGATTCCATATTCAGAGCTTGGGCAATATTTGGCGATATTTGCACCCTTTTGACCGACTAGAGGTCAACAGCACCTCTTCATTACACTGATGTATTTTCCGAATATTACCAATATTCAGTACAGCCCTATTCTAATTACTTGTCCAGATTCCCTTCGCCGTGGGTTATGTTGTGATGTTCGGCTTTCAATTGTGGCCTATAGATAGACTCGAAAAAAAAACATAAACAATTAAGTCTTCAGTTCACCTCATCCCTCATCAAACCAGGCATGCTTATTCATTGGATCGATATGCTTCTCCATATAAAAATTCGAGATGTTTGGGCCATAATTGCGGCCTCTGGAGCGACCAGAAAATCAGACAAAAATAAAATTTTTGGTGCACTTCATCCCCTAAATATTAACCGATTTATACAAAAAAAAAAAAAAAAAAAAAAAAAAAACAATAGGGGTCTTCATTGGCCAGAACCCATTCTACATGCAAAATTTCGTGAAGATTGGTCCATAACTGTGGTCTGTATCGTGTTTACAAATTATATTGGACAGACGAACGGACGGACACATATGTCAAAATCGACTCAGCTAGTCGATATATGTCAATTATATACTTAATGGTGGGTCTAGAACCAATATTTCGCGGCGTTACAAACTCTTGGGGCTGCACAAAGCTATAATACCCTGACAACATAGCTGTGTAGGGTATAAAAATCCACTCCTCTTATAAGGCCTCGAAAAAATTGTTTTAAAAAATCCACGATCACTTCCACACTGATTACAGCCACATTAAATACAATTGCAACTTACCCTCCTACTCCAGCCCGACAGCATGCAAATATTTGCATTAGGGCCAACGCCAAAAAGCCCAACGTCGAACAACAACGTTGACGAGTCATGGCTGCGACAATATTCGTAATTTCTTAAAAAAAATAATCCGGCACGAAAAAAAATTTAAATCGAAAAAATCTCCCAAGGTGGGAGCGGAACTCAAGTTGATGTTGTCGCTTTGAAAGCCACACGCAGACTCAATAGAATTCGGCTGTGTAGGGTTATAATGTTATCGGAATGGCATGGATAATGAGTGAGTGATTGAGTGACGGTGAGACCGGCATGCTCTAGCTGACACAATGTTTTGAACTTTGGTTAGATGGGATCGGAACTTCTTTTCTCTCTCTCTTTTATTTTTGGTGCCATTAAGTCGGTTTTAAGAATGATTTTGGTGTTGCCGTTTTAGGCGCGGATTTTTAGATGATTTTTGCCATTTTAATTTTGAGTATTAAAACAAAATATAGGTTTAGAGGTACCCAAACCAGGCGTGGATTTTTTAAAAATATTTTTCGAGGTATTCAGAATTATTTTTAGGGCATCTCTGTAGGCGTGGATTTTTAAAACAATATTTTTGGGGCATATCTATAGGCGTGGATTTTTAAAACAATATTTTTGGGGCATATCTATAGGCGTGGATTTTTAAAACAATATTTTTGTGGGACATATCTATAGGCGTGGATTTTTAAAACAATAATTTTGTGGGGCATATCTATAGGCGTGGATTTTTAAAACAATATTTTTGGGGCATATCTGTAGGCGTGGATTTTTAAAACAATATTTTTGGGGCATATCTATAGGCGTGGATTTTTAAAACAATATTTTTGTGGGGCATATCTATAGGCGTGGATTTTTAAAACAATATTTTTGTGGGGCATATCTATAGGCGTGGATTTTTAAAACAATATTTTTGTGGGGCATATCTATAGGCGTGGATTTTTAAAACAATATTTTTGGGGCATATCTATAGGCGTGGATTTTTAAAACAATATTTTTGGGGCATATCTATAGGCGTGGCAGTCGTGGTAGCAACAAAAAGCATATCAACAATGTGAACATCTAATGTAGGCAAGGTATTGTGTTGCCACAGGTATACTGACTGTTATACCTGGACACGTTTTTCCACCGCATTTGGTAGTAAATTGGTATTTTGGTTTGTCATTACATAACACATATCCGTACAAAAAATTGTTAATACTGACCCAAGTTTCAGGGTAGCCCCATACGACGCTAACACCCACCCTCCCCCATCCATGTCATATACATAGGCTTGGATTAAATAAAAATTATTTGTCGACGCATATTTTAATGAGTGATTTTTTGAAAAAAAAATATATATTTTTACTGGCTTATTTATCGGCTTAGATGTTTCAAATATTATTTTTAAGACATATTTATATGTGTGGATTTTTCACAAATTATCCACTTTTATATTTTATTTAAAATTATTTTCAATTTTTTATTATTAAACTATTTAAGTAAATCGTATGAAACATCAAACTATTTAAAGTACTCGCATCCCATAAACAACTCGAACATCGACTACAACAGCTGGCTTCCATTTCCTGATAATCTCTTAAAGCTTCGTTTTGCTGGGTTTATTTGCATTTACTGCACTCCTCTTCGCCTTCACAAATATCACAGAGTTTCGATTCAACTTCATAAAAATCGGTTGCCTTCTTATTCGAATCGTAATAATCGTAGACCCGAATGACAGCAGGTTTCTGCATGGCAACAGCATGATCACGAATGGCCTCGTACGGAATGCAGGTCTTTTCGTCCTTATATAAATGATCGAAGTAGATCACCAACAGCGAGTTGGAATTTTCCAATTCGACGTTCTGAAACAAAAATTAAAAAAAATGGAAAATTAAAAATTATTAATAGAAAATAATATTGAACCAGTGAGCGGAGCAGTAAAGTCGGACGGGGCCGACCATATGATACCCTACACAACTTCCACGAAAATCTGACTTTCTGTGGTACTACATTCTGAGCTTGGACAATATTTCGCGATATTTGCACCCTATAGAACGACCAGGTTCAACAAATATTAGTAATATTCAGCACAGTTCCTCTAATAACTTGTCCAGATTTCCTTCACTGTGGGTGGTGTTGTGATGTTCGGCTTTCGCTTGGGGCCTATAGGTCGACTCGAAAAAACACAAAAATTAAGTTTTCGGTCCACGTCATTCCAAAATTATTATCTTATCATCACCGAAAATTATAGGCGTTGACCTTGACCATAACTGCAACCTCATGGAAGATTTTCAAAGCTATCATCGCTATATTTCCACCCTCTGGTGTGATAATGGGTTACTAAATAGTATATGAATACATAAGCCCCTGCAAATATTTACGTGTACCTCCCACATCCGAGTACATACGACAATATAATTGGTATAAATTTGAAGGACAACCACTCCTCCTGGATATACTATCAACTTCTAGGGTCAATGTCCAATGTCCTCCAGGGTTAAATATATACGCTATAGATTACAAATTTTGTAAGTTTTCACACAAAAGTCAGGGTCCATTTGACCTGCTAAATATTGGCCGATCTTTATCAAAACAGACACGCTTATTCTTTGACCCGATCCCCTTCTCCATGTAAAAATTCGCCGTGTTTGGGCCATAATTGTAGCCTCTGGAGCGACCAGGAAATCAGGCAAAAATTAAGTTTTTGGTCCATTTCATCCCCTAAATATTAACCGATCTTTACCAAAAACAACAGGGGTCTTCATTGGCCAGAACCCATTCTACATGCAAAATTTCATGAAGATTGGTCCATAACTGTGTCCTTTATCGTGTTTACATATTATAATGGGCAGACGGACGGACGGTCGGAGACACATGTCTATATCGACTCAGCAAGTCGAGATATGACGATCGGTATACTTAAAGGTGGGTCTAGGACCAATATTTCGCGGCGTTACAAACTCTTGGGGCTGCACAAAGCTATAATACCCTGACAACATAGTTGTGTAGGGTAAAAAAGTCCAAGCATGTATGCCTCGAAAAATAATTTTTAAAAAATCCACGCCTTTTTGCCGACCTCTGCAATATATTTTTAAAAAATGTTCCTCCTGATGGGCCTTGAATATTTCTTTTGTTTTCAAAATACTTACACTAACTCTCTTCACCCCGTTGATGGCGTGCAGACTTTCATCTTCCACCACATATCCCGAGGGGGTATTAATTTCCAACACCGCCATATTCGAAGCTTCACCCTCACCCTTATATTCCACACAGACATTCATTAGGAGAGCGGATTTTTGGCCGGCGTTTTGTTTCTCGGTGGTAATCTCAAAACTGGGCTGTTCTTTTTCCAGGATATTGTATTGATAGGCAATTTGGACCATGGCCGCGCCACTACCCTTGGCTGAGAACTCCACGGATTTGGTTTTATCGGGCATCTGAAAAAAGAAGAAAAAATACATTACGTTCTGGGTTCGAAGTTCTTCCTCCTTGGACTTACCTCCACATTTTGATAGATAATAGCATTTTCCTTGGTGAGCTTGAGGGTTTCCTGTTTCTCTTTGTCGGCACCCTTGGAGGCTATGTTCACGACCATTTCTGCCGGTTTATAGCCAGCAAATTTGGCGAATTTTATGAGAGCCTGTAGACCCACCACAGTATCCTGGGTGGAGGCAAAACCACCATTGCTATTACGCTGGGAAATGAGCCATCTAATTATGGGCAAAATTTCATCCATATTGGGTGAGGGTTGATTGAGCAGGGTTAGCAGGGCATAGGAGCTAATTTCCACATTAAAGCTATTGACAAAAGTATTTAGTGGCCCATCCCAAGTGGACCACCATTTACGATCACCATCAGTTTTGACCAAAGAATTCAATTTTGTCAACTTCTCAGGGGCTTTGGCGTGGTGGGCCCTATCCAGGGTATAGGTGGCAATTGCCAGGGCATGAAGGGATTCAGATTTTTCCGAATTCTCGTTAATGAACTCCAAACCCTTTGAGATTTCTTGAGAATATTTCTCAGCATAGGTCTTTTTTTCCAGCAAGGCCAAGAGGACCGAACTTGTGAGGGACACAAGATTGGCTTGATCCGCATAGAAGAAGTCTTCATTTTTTTCGGTAAATGAACCATTTTTGGCTTGTTGCTTGACCAGGTATTCCAAGGAGTTTTCAATGATTTTCGTATCAACTTTTTTGTAGTCCTGCAATTGGATTAGGGATCTGGTCACATAGGCTGTCAGCCAGGTGGAACCATTATTCAGCTGGCCATTAAGTTCATGGGGTCCAAAGGAGCTAAAGGAGCCATCGGGATGGCGATAGTTGAGCATGTGTTGGTAGCCAGTTACCATGTTGTAACGTAACTTCGTTTCCATATTGGGGGTCAGGCGTTTGGTGTTCTGTGGGAGAGAGAGTAGAGAGTGAGGGTAAGCCAAAGAAAGCTTGAGAGAATGCTATAGGGCTGAACTTACCTCCAAATATTTCATAACTAAATAATTCGGCAGCAGTGTGGACATGGTCTGTTCACCACACCCGGTGGGTAGGCGTACCAAATTATCCAGATTATTGACGACGGGACCCAAAATATCACCCACCACCCCGACCTCAACATGTTGCGAATCGGGTATAATCTCCGCAGGCAATTCCAGTTTGAAGGACGATTTCATTTCCGCCTCCTTGTTGAGATTGACGAAGAAGGCTCGATTGCCATATTTGGTAACGCCTTCGGGTACAACCTTCATCGATTTGTGGACGGCATCACCGGCCACTGGAGAAATGGCGGTGTACTTCAACATTACATTACCCAAAACTTTAGGGCGGATCATAAAGGCAACTCCGGCGGTACCCATAGCAGCGACTCGAACCATCTTCGTACGTGATTGATCGCCAATTACTTCGTTGGTGACATCGGTAAACTCAAATTCATTGTCGCTATTATCCAAGGTGACCTCAACATCGAGGGTTTTGCCCAAATAATTGAAGACCAGGGCGGGGATGTTGATAACCTCACCTGGAAAAAATTAAAAAAATATTTTTTTTATTTTCACTAAAATCTACGCTTTAAATAGACCCTTGAAAAAATATTTTTTAAAAAAATCCTAGCTCTTGTATAGTTGAGCCTTTTTTTGTTTTTTGAAATATATGCAAGAAAAAAAATTTTTTTAAAAATCATCCAAAAAGTTTTCACCTCTCTTAACGGAATATGGCAGCCGTATGGAAATGAAAAATGGTTTGAAGGTGGTAATCTTTGTTTCTTCGCCAGTCACCGCCAAACCCTTTTCACTGTTCATGGCAAAGCCGGTCAACACCCATGAGGTAATGGTATCGGGTATTTTCTTGGACCAGGTAAATTCTTCCTTGTCAGTGCTAAAGAAAAAACAAAGAAATCAGTTTTTAAAAAATCTTCTCCAACAAAATATCATCCCACCACCACCTACTTTTCAATATTATCAAATATCCAGGTCTCAGCAAAGTCTTTGCGAACCTGTACAGGGTCACTACCACCAACTCCTCCCGGAGCTCCTGGGCCAAATGCAGCTGCGTGGACTGGCATATTCTGACCAGTCCAATTATATACATAATCACCATTTGTCAGGGTAATACAACCGGATTTGGAACCAGGATAATAAGAATAACCAACCTGAGGGGGTGTGTTTGTCACATAGGAACCCACAATCCAGCGGAATTCACTGGCACGAATGTCATTGTTCGATCTCAATAGCAGGACACTTTGATCCACCGCCATGAGGCCAACAAACGAGTTGGGGGCCGTTTTAATTTTCAGAGCGACTTCCTGGCCGGGTTTGACCTGGTCAGCAGCAGTGATGGTGATCTGGGAAGAAAGACAAAAACAAAAAATTATAAAAATAATTTAAAAAAAAAATCCGCGCCTAAGTCTAGGCCCTCAGAAGTTAATTTAAAAAAATTGACAAAATATTTTTAAAAAATTAACGTCCTCTAAAAACGTCACGCCTACTGTTGTTCTCTTAAGAAATCCTCACCTATATTGAGGTATCAAAAGAATATTTTTTAAAAACCCAAACCTTTGTGGAGAACTCCAAAAAATGTTTTTTTTTTAATCTGCTGGACTCCTTACCTTATTTTCCAATTCATAATCAATGTAGTAGCTACCCTCCGCATAATGGTATTCACCCTGCTCATCAATATAATAAATATAAATCGAGAACCGTGGAGAATACACCAATTCCGGGGTGATGGTGATATTGTGCACCATGGGCTTCTGTGGTAAATCGATATGTCCCGTCTTGACAATATTACCCCGAGCAATGACATTATAATCCAAATAGGGCAGGGGTTTGCTGGACTTCACTGTGAAATGTTCGGCCTGGAATAATGTGGGCCTAGAAATGAGGGGAATATTTGTGTTATTTTTTAGGTCTATTTAAAGGGTCTGCATAAACTACCCGTTATTGTCATATTTATACTCAATTTTAAACCATTCCTTGGTCAACTCATCAGCTGTAGTATACACTTTAGATATTGGATAGGCATCACCGACATCACGTTTTTCATCTCGATATTTGGCCTCAATGTCATAGTAATGGAAGTAGTCCTCATATTCCTTCAGATCGCTTAGCTTCACCTTGAAGGTCGCAAAACCCGTTTCATTCATAAAACCTTTGAAGCTGTAACTGAGATTTCCCGAAATTGGTCGGCTCAGAGTCGTTGTCACATTCTCCTCATCCTCAATGTCCCAATTTTCCAACACCTCCGTGTATACCAATTCCACAGGGGTTTTCGTGTCCTTCAAATGCGTTCCATCCACATAGGTCAACTGAATCATGACCTCCTTCTCATTATCCGCCTCAAAGGATCTGCATTCATCTTCATCGACACAATGCATGGCATAGCGATAGGGATAGATTTTGGTACTGGCAGTGGTGTTGAGTTTCACTCCTGTGAATTCTTCTTCGACAGTGGCCACAATACTAGCCCCGCTGGGATATTCTGCGCTATGTAAATACGCCTCCAGTTGCTTGACATTCAGATCAATCTTGGCCTTGCCTTGAATCATAGCTCCGGTGTGGATAATGCTGGGTGGTTCTTCTTGTTCATTTTCAGAATTAAAACCGAAGTCGTAATTGTTATCCAGGCTGAGGATAACGGTGGCTTTACCGTTCACGGGCTTGCCATATGTGTAGCTAAGGAAATCAATTATTAGTATCGAGTGTCCTCCCCCTCCCCTCCCGCAAAAATTACTTACTTGGCCCGAACAATAACCTGCATATCACCATCCTTAACCGACACCGACTCGGTGGCCTCAGCCATGACCACATATTTCGGCAAGACATATTTCTCGACCTCAAAGTACACGGAATGGTCATCTTGGCCCTTGCTGGTCACCACCATACGCCAATTACCCATCACCGGAAATTCGGAAATTTTAAATTGCCCCGTATGAACCCCCTTGACTACTTCGGAAATTTGCAATTCTTTGATGCGATTTCCATCTTCCAACCATATCAGAGTATCCTTTTCCGGCATGGCTGGCTTCAAATCCTTGTCCAAAAACAATACCCGATAATTGATGGTGTCTCCAGGTTTATATAGACCCTTGTCAGTTTGTATCCGAACGTAAGGGCTAAATTTGGCATAATTTAATATAGTGGAATTTTTAAAATTCTCCAGACAATTAATACCCTCGGCTGTTAGATTGTATTTACCCTCAGCCAAGGTGGGCACTGCGAACTCGACTTCTTTTATTTCCGAACCTGTGACCTCAACAATTTTACTTTCTTTAAAGGAGGGGCCTATAATGCCCACCTTTATTTGGCATGCAGAGTCCACGTGATGTACGGCCACAGCTGCCGTGTATTTGTCATTGGAGTGTATGGTACCGGGAGCGATAACGGTATATTTGCTGGAAGAAAATTAAGAAGAAGAAGAAATACAGATTATAAATCTGAAGGTGTTTGTTGAAAATTAAATGGTGGTAGAAGGTAAATGATGGTAGAAGGTCATCTTAAAAATCAATCAGATATAAAAATATTTGAAACAAAAAAAAATCGAAATGTTTTTTCAAAGCATTCAAAATATTCTACAAGACCTCCACATGGCCTTGGATTTTTTTTTAATATTGTTTGGTGTTCTGCACACAGGCGTAGATTTTTAAATAAAAAAATAATTTTTTGGTCATCCATACATGGCCTGGATTTTTATACCCTTCACCACACTGTGGTACAGGGTATTATGCCTTTGTACAGATGTTTGAAACAACCAAAAGGAAACGAGATAGACACATGGTTCCTTTTGAGAATATGCATAGAATCGCTTTCTAAGTCGATATATGCATGTCCGTCCGTCCGTCAGTCCATGTTAAATTGTGAACAAAGTACAGGTCGCATTTTTGCTTCGAATTGGATGAAATTTGGCACAGCTCATTTATTTGGCCCAAGGACGAACCCTATTGAAATTGGGAAAAATCGGTTCAGATTTATATAGCTCCCGATTTTATGTAAATGGTGCACCAAAAAACCTTATATATCCTTCGATTTTCACGAAATTTGGCATATCGTACTGAATTGAGTATAGAATGATGTGCGTTAAATTTCGTGAAAATGGGTTCAGATTTAGATATTGCTTCCATATATATTTTCGTCCGATTTTATGTAAATGGTGCACCAAAATCCCTATATATCCTTCGATTGGTACGAAATTTGGCATAGCGTAATGCATTAGTTCTAGAATAATGTGCGCTAAGTTTCGAGAAAATCGGTTCAGATTTAGATATAGCTCCCATATATATTTTCATCCGATTTAAGTAAACAGTGCACCAAAGTCCCTTTACACCCTTCGATTTGCACGAAATTTGGTATGGTGTACTGAATTGGGTCCAGGATGTAGTGTGTAAAGTTTCCTGAAAATCGGTTCAATTTCATATATAGCTCTTATATATATTATCGTCCGATTTAATGAAAATGGTCCATCAAAGTCCCCATATATGATTCGATTTGTATGAAATTTGGCATAGAGTACTGAATCAGGTGCAGAATGATGTGTGCCAAGTTTCGAGAAAATCGGTACAGATTTAGATATAGCTCCCATATATAGTTTTGTCCGATTTAATGTAAATGGTGTACCAAAGTCCCTATATATCATTCGATTTGCACAAAATTTGGCATAGAGTGCAGAATTAGGTCCGGAATGATGTGTGCTAAGTTTCGTGAAAATTGGTTCAGATTTAGATTTTTAAAAATAATTTTTTGCCCATCCATACAAGGCGTGGATTTTTTAAAAATAATTTTTTGCCCATCCATACAAGGCGTGGATTTTTCAAAAATAATTTTTTGCCCATGCATACAAGGCGTGGATTTTTTAAAAATAATTTTTTGCCCATCCATACAAGGCGTTGATTTTTTAAAAATAATTTTTTGGCCATCCATACAAGGCGTTGATTTTTTAAAAATAATTTTTTGGCCATCCATACAAGGCGTGGATTTTTTAAAAATAATTTTTTGGCCATCCATACAAGGCCCATCCATACAAGGCGTGGATTTTTTAAAAATAATTTTTTGGCCATCCATACAAGGCTTGGATTTTTTAAAAATAATTTTTTGGCCATCCATACAAGGCTTGGATTTTTTAACAATAATTCTTTTGGCCATCCATACAAGGCGTGGATTTTTTAAAAATAATTTTTTGCCCATCCATACAAGGCGTGGATTTTTTAAAAATATTTTTTTGCCCATCCATACAAGGCGTGGATTTTTTAAAAATAATTTTTTGCCCATCCATACAAGGCGTGGATTTTTTAAAAATAATTTTTTGCCCATCTATACAAGGCGTGGATTTTTTAAAAATAATTTTTTGTCCATCCATACAAGGCGTGGATTTTTTAAAAATAATTTTTTGCCCATCCATACAAGGCGTGGATTTTTTAAAAATAATTTTTTGCCCATCCATACAAGGCCTGGATTTTTTTAAAATAATTTTTTGCCCATCCATACAAGGCGTGGATTTTTTTAAAATAATTTTTTGCCCATCCATACAAGGCGTGGATTTTTTTAAAATAATTTTTTGCCCATCCATACAAGGCGTGGATTTTTTTAAAATAATTTTTTGCCCATCCATACAAGGCCCATCCATACAAGGCGTGGATTTTTTAAAAATAATTTTTTGCCCATCCATACAAGGCGTGGATTTTTTTAAAATAATTTTTTGCCCATCCATACAAGGCCCATCCATACAAGGCGTGGATTTTTTAAAAATAATTGTTTGCCCATCCATACAAGGCGTGGATTTTTTAAAAATAATTGTTTGCCCATCCATACAAGGCGTGGATTTTTTAAAAATAATTTTTTGCCCATCCATACAAGGCGTGGATTTTTTAAAAATAATTTTTTGCCCATCTATACAAGGCGTGGATTTTTTAAAAATAATTTTTTGCCCATCCATACAAGGCGTGGATTTTTTAAAAATAATTTTTTGCCCATCCATACAAGGCGTCGATTTTTTAAAAATAATTTTTTGCCCATCCATACAAGGCGTCGATTTTTTAAAAATAATTTTTTGCCCATCCATACAAGGCGTGGATTTTGGATTTTTTAAAAATAATTTTTTGCCCATCCATACAAGGCGTGGATTTTTTAAAAATAATTTTTTGCCCATCCATACAAGGCGTGGATTTTTTAAAAATAATTTTTTGCCCATCCATACAAGGCGTGGATTTTTTAAAAATAATTTTTTGGCCATCCATATTTTTTTGGGAGTCTTCACAGAGAGGAGGATTTTTAAAAATATTTTTTGGAGAGGAGTATTTAAATTTTTTTATATACTATGTCATTAAAAAAAATCTGTTATTAAAAAACCAGTATTTAATAAAAAAAGTTAAAAACATAATAAATATGTTAACACATTAACGTTAATAAATATGTTAACGAGTATGCAAAAAACAATCTAATAGAATTGAAAATAGAATACAAAACTAAGCTCTAAATTAATAAAATAAATACATAAATAAATAAAATTAAAAACAAAAGCGAAAAAAACATTTTGGGTACATCACAAGTTCACTGGCTAAACAGCTGTAAAACCGCTAAACCGGTGACAAAGGCGCTAACAACACAAAAACCAGCTATCGGCCAGTGATTTAGTTACATAATGACAACTATAAAAATCCACGCCTAAAAATTATTTTAATTTTCAATTTATTTTAAGGCCCAAAAAAAAAATATGTTTAAAATAACATCCCCACCTATAAGGCCTCGAAAAAATATTTTTAAAAAAATCCTCGCCTATTTTAATACCCAAAAAAAAAAATATTTTTAAACCAATGAACGGAGCGGTATAGTCGGACAGGGCCGACCATATGATACCCTATAAAACTAACACGAAAAGCTAACTTTATGCGGTTCTATATTCTGATATTTGCACCCTTTCGTGATATTTGCACCCTTTTTACCGATTATAGATCAACAACTTCACTTTCTAAGCCTGGCATATTTTCGAACATTTTTTTCTTGAAGTGCATTTTTAGACCATAAAACAAAAAATTTGGTTAATTTGACCGATTTGGTTATTGACCGATTATCATCAAAACAGCCGCTCTAAGTATTTGATCAGATCCCCTTCACCTTGTAAAATATGTGATGTTCTGCATATAATAATTGCCTCTAGAGCGACTAGAAAATTTGACAAAATGAATGAAATCACAACTTCACCGAAAACTATAGGTGTCGTCCTTGACTATAATCGGAACTTCATGTACAATTTCAAAGCGATCAGCGCGACATTTCCGTTCTCTAATAGAGTAATGATAATAATATGCACATAGTAACCATTACCCATTTGCGTATAACTCCCACATCAGAATACATACAGCCATATAATTGGTATCAATTTGAAGTTGAACAACACCTCTTGGATATACTATCAACTTCTCGGGTCTAGGACCTTCAGGAGTAAATATATACGCCCCAGAATAAAAATTTTGTAATTTTTCACACAAAAGTCAGGGTTCATTTGCCGCGCTAAATATTGACCGATCCTTACAAAAACCAGTAAGGAAAGTAGTAAAGTCGGACTGGGCCGACTATATGATACCTTTCACCACTTTGGGTATATGTATCCTACGACGCGTTTTGTTATAAATCTATATCTGAACCGATTTCAGGGAAACTTGCCAGAGACTTATTTATACAACATCAGTACGATGTGTCAATCGGCCTAGCTATGGATCTTTTCACGAAGCTTGGCAACATCATTCTAGACTTAAATCAGTATCCTATACCAAAATTCGAAAAATATATAGGGTCTTTGGTGCACCAATTACCTTAAATCGGATGAAAATATATATGGGAGCTATATCTAAATCTGAACCGATTTTCATGAAACTTGGCAGACATCATTCTCGATCTTATTTATAACTCTGTGCCAAATTTCGTGCACGTCAAAAGATTTCCAGGGACTTTAGTGGACTATTTACCTAAAATCGGACGAAAATATATATGGGAGCTATATCTAAATCTGAACCGATTTTTACGAAACTTTGCACACATCATTCTATACTTAATTTAGTACGCTGTGCCAAATTTCGTGCAAATCGAAAGATATATAGGGACTTTGGTACACAATTAACATTAAATCGGACGAAGATATATATGGGAGCTATATCTAAATCTGAACCGATTTTCTCGAAATTTAGCACACATCATTCTGGACCTAATTCAGTACTCTGTGTCAAATTTCATGCAAATCGAAAGATATAGAGGGACTTTGGTGTCCCATTTACCTTAAATCGGACGATAATATATATGGGAGCTATATCTAAATCTGAACCGATTTTTTCCCAATTTCAATAGGGATCGTCCTTGGGCCAAATAAGTGACTTGTGCCAAATTTCATCCAAATCGGATTATAAATGCGGCCTGTACTTTGTTTACACTTTAGAACTACAGACGGACGGACGGACGGACGGACATGCATAAATCGACTAAGAAAGTGATTCTATGAATATTCTCAAAAGGAACTATGTGTCTGTCTCGTTTCCTTTTGCCTGTTACAAAGACATAATACCCTGTACCACAGTGTGGTGAAGGGTATAAATAGGCATGCTTATTCTTAGCCCCGATCCCCTTCTCCATGTAAAATTTCACGATGTTCGGGCCATAATTGCGGCCTCTGGAGCGTCCAGAAATTAAGTATTTGGTCCATTTCATCCCCTAAATATTAACCGATCTTCACCAAAAACAATAGGGATCGTCATTGGCCAGAATCCATCCTACATGCAAAATTTCGTGAAGATTGGTCCATAACTGTGGCCTGTATCGTGTTTAAAAAAATTATAATGGACAGACGGACGGACGGACACACATGTCTAGATCGACTCAGCTAGTCGAGATATAAGAATCGGTATACTTAAAAGTGGGTCTAGGACCAATATTTCGCGGCGTTACAAACTTTTGGGGCTGCACAAAGCTATAATACCCTGACAACATACTTCTGTAGGGTATAAAAATCCATCCCTTTTATAGGACCTCAAAATTTTTTTTTTTTTTAAATCCACTTCTCTTATAAGGCCTCGAAAACGTATTTTTCGAAAATCGAAGGCGATTTAAAGGCCTTTAAAATATATTTGTTAAATATCCACGCCTCTTATAAGGCCTCGAGAAAACATTTTTTAAAAATTCTCATTCAGATCTTTGGAAAATAAAATATTTATTTTTTTGTATTTCCCACGTGATTGGAAATTAATTCCAATGAAGATAAACATTTCAATTTATATGCAAATTTTATGATTCATTGTAGTCCAGAACCAGATTTCAATTTATTAGTTAATCTATTTTTTTTTTTTTTGTTAATTTGCCAAACTTGTTAAGAATTAAACTAAAATGGTCATTACAATTTCCACATTCTTTTACTTTTTTTTTTAAATTTTTCTTAGTTTTGAAAAAAATTTTAAAAATAATAAACACTGACACACTCATGACACAAATTAAATACAATTGCAACTTACCCACCTGCTCCAGCCCGACAGCATGCAATTATTTGCATTAGGACCAACGCCAAGAGGCCCAACGTCGAACAACAACGTTGACGAGTCATGGCTGCGACAAAATTCGTAATTTCTTAAAAAAAAAAAAATAATTCGGCACAAAACAAAAAATTTAAATCGAAAAAATCTCCCAAGGTGGGAGCGGAACTCAAGTTGATGTTGTCGCTTTGAAAGCCACACGCAGACTCAATAGAATTCTGCTGTGTAGGGTTATAATGTATTCAGAATGGCATGGATGATAAGTGAGTGGTTGAATGGCGGTGAGACGGGCATTCTATAGCTGACTCTAGTTTTGAACTTTGGTTAGATGGGATCGGAACTTCTTTCCATCTCTCTCTTGGGTGCCATTAAGCCGGTTTGAAAGAGAATGCGTTTTTTTTCTTTTTGAGGTACCCAAACCAGGCGTGAATTTTAAATTTTTTATAAAAATTATTTTTGGGCCACATCTGAAGGCGTTTTTTTTGCAAATCATAGGCGTGGATTTTTGAAAAGCATATTTATAGGCGTGGATTTTTGAAAAGCATATTTATAGGCGTGGATTTTTGAAAATCATATATAAAATATTTTGAAACATATTTATAGGCTTGAATGAATTAAATAGGGCATATTTATAGGCGTGGCTTTTTATACCCTCCACCATAGTATGGAGGGTATATTAATTTTGTTTTTCCGTTTGTAACTCATCGAAATAATCATTTCCGACCCTATAAAGTATATATATATTCTTGATCAGCGTAAAATTCTATGACGATATAGCCATGCCCGTCTGTCTGTTGTAATCACTCCAGCGTCTAAACGAATTGATAGATAGATCGCCAAAATTTTGCATTCGTCTTTTGTCTGCAGGCAGGTCAAGTTCGATGATGGGCGGCAGTGTTGCCAAAACTTTGCTGATAAAAAATGCTAGATTTTGTTTAAAAAAGTGCTCATATTAAAGTACTGCCCTATCTTCTTTACTTTGTCACATTTTAGTCACATTCTCTGGGATGTTGTAAGGTAGGATATATGTTTGCGGACAATTTTCTACATAGGTATATGTTTGGACATATCCCCCATAAAAATGTTTCATCCTTCTTGTCCACTTTTAAGGTTTAGAACCTTTGCCCGCCGTTTTGTCTGTAATTTAAAAATATGTTTGCCGAAATTTTTCGATGTAGGTCCATCTTTTGACATAACCCCATTATAATGTGGAACGCGACCCATTTTCGGTACTCTGAAGTGTAGGTCCATCTTTTGATATAACCCCATTATAAAGTGGAACGCAAGCTATTTTCGGTACTCTGAAGTGGCTATAATTTGGCATTCCGGATTCACGGTGAAAAAAAACTGCTTTCCAGAAAGTTTCCGATTTAGGTTCATAATTTCTACATAACTCCCATACAAAGGATCACTTAAGGGAACCCCCCCCCCCCCCCCTTCACGATTTTATATTTTTACGATTTTAAATGGGCTGGTAAATGAATACCAATGCTTGTAAAGATTTGTAACTTTGCACATATATTTTTTCGAAGATTTAAAAAGGAAGAAAAGTAATTTACAAAAAATGTTTGTAGTTGTTTTTGTGATCAAAGAAAATTCCTTATTTTTGATGGCGGGCATGGAACATCGGAATCCGAAAATTCCAACGGTGTTAGAAAGAGTACATGTCTGGCTCTCGTATGAACTAGGATTATTGACTTCGCACAACAATTAACAAAATGGCGGAACTTTGATTTTTTTTTTTTTTTTTTTTGGAAAATCGCCTATTTTTGACCACAAACTAGGTTAAAAAGTAAGGAAGCTCTTCACCGATTGGCTTTATCCTAGTTCATACGAGAGCTATACACAGAGAAACGTGTCAAAATTTGGGACCGATTGGATTATTAGTTTTTGAGTTATCGTGCCCGCCATTCGCTTCGAGAAAAATGCGTTTAAAGCTTGAGAATCATTCTTGCCGTCCCTTGATGCTGACGCAATAAATCGGCTATATCTTCCACGTATAGGCATAGTTCCCATATAAGGTTACCCCCAAATTTTCGGTATTTTGGGGTTCTTTTGAGGTTCATACCCTGCATAGTATGAAATTCTAAAACGATTTAGTCGATTTTGCCATATGTTGTAATCATTTGTCTATTGGAGGTTATCGACATAAAAAGTAGAACGTGAGGTTTGAGAATGAACTATATAGACCCGCATATAGGCCCAGGTCCTATATAAAACATCCTACATATTTAATATTTAGCGTGATGCACGGTATTGGAATTCAAAACTAAATTATTAGCTTGGAACTTGAGCTATATCGGCCCTTAATTAGGCATAACCTATTATATAATGAAAACACCAAGTATTCGGAAATTCCTACACAATGTTGTCAATATTGGTCCCGCTTTTGATATCCCTCTTATAAATTTGCCCTCTAAATTGGAGTATTTTCAGGATTTTATACACATGTTTCACATGGGAAAAACACCTCTATGGTGGAGGGTATCCAAGGCTTTTTCATTTGTTTAAATTCTTTTCGGGCATTTTAATAGCTGAGGATTTTTATACCCTACACAACTATGTTGTCAGGGTATTATAGCTTTGTGCAGCCCCAAGAGTTTGTAACGCCGCGAAATATTGGTCCTAGACCCACCTTTAAGTATACCGATTGTCATATCTCGACCAGCTGGGTCGATCTAGAGATGTGTGTCCATCCGTCTGTGCGTCTGTCCATTATAATTTGTAAACACGATACAGGCCACAGTTATGGACCAATCTTCACAAAATTTTGCATGTAGGATGGGTTCTGGCCAATGAAGACCCCTATTGTTTTTGATAAAGATCGATTAATATTTAGGGGATGAAGTGGACCAAATACTTAATTTTTGTCCGTTTTTCTGGTCGCTCCAAAGGCCCCAATTATGGCCCGAATATCGCTAATTTTACATGAATAAGGAAATCGGACGAAAAAATAAGCATGCCTATTTTGATAAAGATCGGTCAATATTTAGTGGGTCAAATGGACCCTGACTTTTGTGTAAAAAATTACAAAATTTGTATTCTTTGGCGTATATATTTACTCCTAAAGGGCATAGGTCCGAAAAATTGATAGTATATCCAAGAGGAGTGGTTGGCCTTTAAATTAATACCGTTGTGGGAGTGGGATGTGGGAGTTACACTTAAATATTTACGGCTGCTTATGTACTGAGATATTATTTAGTAATCCATTACCACACTAGAGGGCGGAAATATAGAGCTGATCGCTTTCAAAATTTCTATGAAGTTCCAGGTATGGTCAAGGACAACGATTATAATTTTCGGTGATGATCAGATAATAATTTTGGGATGGAGTGGCCCTAAAACTTATTTTTTCTGCTTTTTCGAGTCCATCTATAGGCCACACAATTGAAAGCCCAACATCACAACATAACCCAATGTATAGAGAATCTGGACAAGTACAACCCTCGTCTACAGAATATTACAAATATTTGTTGACATCTAGTCGGCCAGGCTCAGAATATAGAACCACAGAAAGTTAAATTTTCGTGGAAGTTGTGTAGGGTATCATATGGTCGCCCCGTCCGAATATACTGTTCCGCTCACTGGGTTTTAATTATTTTTGTAGGCCTATCATTAGCCGTGATTTTTATTAAGGCCTCCAAAAATAATTCAATAACAATCACGGCTCTAGATAGGCCTCCGAACATAATTTTAAAAATGTCCGGCTAATGATAGGCCTTAAAAATCTACAGCTATTAAAATGCTCGAAAAGAATTTAAAAAAGTCACGCCTATAAATATGCCCTATTTAATTCAAGCCTATAAACATGGTTCCAAAAAATTAAGGCGATAACTTTTTTAAATATTTTTTGGGCCTTTAAATATTTTTTCAAGAAAAACAAATTATATTTTTTATTTTTTTTAATTTTTATTATACAATTATTTAGGTAAATCGTATAAAAAATTATATAAAGGACTCACATCCCATAAACAACTCCAACATCATCGCAGGATTCCATTTACCGATAATCTCTTAAAGCTTCCTTTTGAAGGATCTCTATTTGCTGTCTTTATTTGCATTTACTGCACTCCTCTTCGCCATCACAAATATCACAGAGTTTCGATTCAATTTCATAAAACTCGGTTGCCTTCTTATTCAAATCGTAATAATCGTAGACCCGAATGACAGCAGGTTTTTGCATGGCAACAGCATGGTCACGATTGGCCTCGTACATAATGCAGGTCTTTTCATCCTTATACAAATGGTCGAAGTAGATCACCAGCAACGACTTGAAATTTTTCAATTCAACGTACTGACAATTGGGAGAAAATAAAAATTATTAATCGTATATATAAATATATATATCTTACAAAAATATAATTTTAAAAAATAATTTAAAAAATCCACGCCTAGAAATATGCATCGACCTCTACGAAATATTTGTTTAAAACATGTTCCTCCTGATCGGTACGTAATATTTGCGTTTCTTTCAAAATACTTACACTAACATTCTCAACCTCCTCGATAATAGGCAGACTTTGATCTTCTACAACATATCCCGAGGGGGTATTAATTTCCAACACCGCCATATTCGAAGCTTCACCCTCACCCTTATATACCACACAGACATTCATTAGGAGAGCGGATTTTTGGTCAGTCTTTTGTTTTTCGGTGGTAATCTCAAAACTGGGCTGTTCCTTTTCCAGGATATTATATTGATAGGCAATTTGGACCATGGCCGCGCCACTACCCTTGGCTGAGAACTGCACGGATTTGGTTTTATCGGGCATCTGAAAACAAGAGGAAAAATTTCATTACGTCCTGGATTCGAAGTTCCTCCTCCTCCTCCTCCTTGGATTTACCTCCACATTTTGATAGAGAATACCATTTTTCTTTGTGAGTTTGAAGGTTTCCTGTTTCTCTTTGTCGGCACCCTTGGAGGCTATGTCCACGACCATTTCTGCCGGTTTATAGTCAGCTAATTTGGCGAATTTTATGAGAGCCTGTAGACCCAACACAGTGTCCTGGGTGGAGATAAAACCACCATAGCCATTACGCTGGGCAATAAGCCATCTAATTATCGGCAGAATTTCATCCATATTGGGTGAGGGTTGATTGAGCAGGGTTAGCAGGGCATAGGAGCTAATTTCCACATCAATGCTATTGACAAAAAACTTTAGTGGTCCATTGGACCACCATTTATGATCGCCATCAGTTACGGCCAAAGAATTCAATTTTGTCAACTTTTCCCGAGCCATGGCGTGGTTGGCCCTATCCAAGGTATAGGTGGCAATTGCAAGGGCATGAAGGGATTCCGATTTCGTCGAATTCTCGTTAATGAACTCCAAACCCTTTGTGATTTCTTGAGAATATTTCTCAGCATACGTCGTATTTTCCAATAGGGCCAAGAGGACCGAACTTGTGAGGGACACGTGATTGGCTTGAGCCACATAGAAGAAGTCTTCAGATTCTTCGGTAAATTCGCCATTTTCGTCCTGTTGGTCGACCAGGTATTCCAAGGATTCTTCAATGATTTTCGGATCAACCTTGATGTAGTCCTGCAATTGTATTAGGGACCTGGCCACATAGGCTGTCAGCCAGGTAGAACCATAATCCTCTTTATCGGGTCCAAACGAGCTAAAGGAGCCATCCGGATGTAGATAGTTGAGCATCTGTTGGTAGCCAGTATCCATGAGGTAACGTAACTTCATTTCCATAAAGCTGGTCAGGCGTTTGGTGTTCTAGGGAGGAGGGAAAATGAGAATGGTTATAAAAAGAGAACCTCAGATGGACAGGACCGAACTTACATCCAAATATTTCATAAACAAATAACTCGGCAGCAAAGTGGACATGGTCTGTTCCCCGCCCTTCTTGGGTAGGCGTAACAAATTATCGAGATTATTGGCGACAGGACCCAAAATATCACCCACAACCCCGACCTCAACATGTAGCGAATCGGGTATAATATCCGCAGGTAATTCCAATTCGAAGGACGATTTCATTTCCGCTCCCTTGTTGAGATTGACGAAGAAGGCCCGATTACCATATTTGGTAACGCCTTCGGGTACAACCTTCATCGATTTGTGGACGGCATCACCGGCCACTGGAGAAATGGCGGTGTACTTCAACATGATATTACCCAAAACTTTTGGGCGGATCATAAAGGCAACTCCGGCGGCACCCATTGCAGGTACTCGAACCATCTTCGTACGTGATTGGTCGCCAATTATTTCGTTGGTGATTTCGGTAAACTCAAATTCATTGTCGCTATTATCCAAGGTGACCTCAACATCGAGGGTTTTGCCCAAATAATTGAAGACCAGGGTGGGGATGTTGATGATCTCACCTGGAAAAAATGAAAAAAATGGTTTTTTATTTTCAAATAATCTACGCCTGGTATAGAACCTTGAAAATTTAATTTTAAAAAGTTCATGACTTGGTTGAGGCATCCTAAAATAGGGTTTAAAATTTCATCATTTATCACCTCTCTTAACCGAATATGGCAGCCGTATGGAAATGAAAAATGGCTGGAAGGTGATAATCTTTGTTTCTTCACCAGTCACCGCCAAACCCTTTTCACTGTTCATAGCGAAGCCGGTCAACACCCATGAGGTAATGGTATCGGGGATTTTCTTGGACCAGGTAAATTCTTCCTTGTCAGTGCTAAAGAAAAAATCAGTTTTAAAAAATCTTCTCCAACAAAATATCATCCCGCCACCACTAACTTTTCAATATTGTCAAATATCCAGGTCTCTGCAAAATCTTTGCGAACCTGTATGAGTCCAGCTTCAGCGCCAGGGTTATGGGTTGGTGGTGGTGCATTTTGCTGGACATTGTGTGCTGTAGAATTTCTTTCGGCGGTCCAATCATAGAAATAATCACCATTTGTCAGGGTAACACAACCTGATATGTCACCAGGATGATAAAACTTGCCACCCTGAAGAGGGGTGCTGGTGTAATAGGAATTCACAGTCCAGCTTAATTCATTGTCACGAATATCATTGTTTGATCTCAATAGCAGGACACTTTGATCCACCGCCATGAGGCCCACAAACGAGTTGGGGGCAGTTTTAATTTTCAAAGTGACTTCCTGGCCGGGTTTGACCTGGTCAGCAGCAGTGATGCTGATCTGGAAAGAAAGAAACAAAAAACAGCAAATAAAAAAAAATAATATAAAAAATCCGAACTTAAGGCTAGGCTCTCAAAAATAAATTTTAAAATATGTGCGCCTCATCTTAGGCCCCCAAAAATTAGTTTTTATTAAAAATTATTTTTAAAAAATCCACGTCTGAGGCTAAGCCCTCAAAAGTCAATTTAAAACAACCACTCCTTTATTTAGTCCTCTTAAAAATATTTTTTGAAGACCTCAACATAGGCGTGGACCTCTTGTTACGACTTGAAAAAGTATTGAAAAAAAAATTCCACGCCTTGAAAATATATTTTTTAAAAAATCTGCTGGACCCCTTACCTTATTTTCCAATTCATAATCAATGAAGCAGGCACGCTCCGCATAATGGTATTCACCCTGCTCATCAATATAATAAATATAAATCGCGAAGCTAGGAGAATACACCAATTCCGGAATGATGGTGATATTGTGCACCATGGGCTTCTGAGGTAAATCGATATGTCCCGTCTTGACAATATTACCCCGAGCAATAACATTATAATCCAAATAGGGCAGGGGTTTGCTGGACTTCACTGTGAAATGTTCGGCCTGGAATAATTTGGCACTAGAAGTGAGGAAAAATGTGTGTTATTTTGGATATATTTTAAGGGTCTTCAAAACCTACTCGTTATTGTCAGATTTATCCTCAATTATAAACCATTCGTCGTTCAGCTCCTTATTAAGATATTGATAGGCACTATTGACAATACCATTTTCATACCGATATTGAGAGGCTCTACTGACAAAATGTTTTTCATCCCGATATATGACCTCCATGTCAAAGTAATGGGCGTAGTCCTTATATTGCTTCAGATCGCTTAGCTTCACCTTGAATGTCGCAAAACCCGTTTCATTCATAAAACCTTTGAAACTGTAGCTGAGATTTCCCGAAATCGGTGGGATTTGGGTCGTTGCCACATCTTCCTGATCCTCATCTTCCTGATCCTCATCTTCCTGATCCTCATCTTCCTCATCCTCATCTTCCTGATCCTCATCTTCGTCGCCAATATTCCAATAGTCTAAAATCTCGGTGTATACCAATTCCACTGGGGTCTTCGTGTCCTTCAAATGCGAACCGTCCACGTAGTTCAACTGAATCATGACTTCCTTTTCCTTATCCGGCTCAAAGGATCTGCATTCCTCCTCATCGACACAACGCATGGCATATCGGTATGGGTAGATTTCGGTACGGGTGGTGGTGTTGACATTCACCCCCGTGATTTCTTCTTCGACGGTGGCATCAATAAAACCAGAGGTGGGAGATGAAAATGTGCTCTGCACGTAGGGCTCCAGCTCCTTGATATTCAGATCAATTTTAGCCTTGCCTTGGATCATATATCCGGTGCGGCTAATGCTTGGAATTATTTCTTCTTCATAATAGAAACGGGGGACGTACACCCATACGGTGACCGTGACTTTGCCATTCAAAGGCTTGCCATAGGTGTAGCTGAAAAAAAATCAATTAGTATTCTCGAGTGTCCATCTCTCCATCACCAAAATAATGCTTACTTAGCCCGAACAATAACCTGCATATCTCCATCCTTAACCGACACCGACTCCGGAGCCTCAGCCTTCACCACATATTTCGGCAGGACATATTTCTGCACCTCAAAGTACACGGATTGGTCATCTTGGCCCTTGCTAGACACCACCACACGCCATTTACCCATCACCGGAAATTCGGAAATTTTAAATTGGCCCGTATGCACCCCCTTGACCACTTTGGAAATTTTCAATTCTTTAATGCGATTTTGTTTACCATCCTCCAACCAGACGACGGTGTTCTTCTCCGGCACAGCTGGTTTCAAGGCCTTATCCAAAAACAATACCCGATAATTGATGGTATCTCCAGGTTTATACAGACCCTTGTCGGTTTGGATCCAAACGTAGGTGTTAAATTTGGCATAATTTAATCGAGTGGAATTTTTAAAATTCTCCAGACAATTAATACCCTCGGCTGTTAGATTGTATTTACCCTTAGCCAAGGTGGGCACTGCGAACTCAACTTCTTTTATTTCCGAACCTGTGACCTCAACAATTTTACTTTCCTTAAATGAGGGACCAGTAATGCCCACCTGTATTTGGCATGCAGAGTCCACGTGATGTACGGCCACAGCTGCCGTGTATTTGTCATTGGAGTGTATGGTACCGGGAGCGATGACGGTATATTTGCTGGAAGAAAAATCAATACAGTTTTTAGTAACTTTTAGTACCCCACCCGCCCCACCTTATCACAAGCCTGCGCACAAAACCCGCCCCACATGCCAAATTTCAAGTTTCTAGCGTTGATGATCAATCAGTCACTTATAACGCAACTCGTTTATATCAGCAGTTAAAGTCGGGAAGTCCTTCAATACCGAACGAGGATTCAGACAAGGTGACAGTTCGTTGTGTGATCCTTTTAACATCCTACTGGAAATGGTCTTATGAGACGCAAATGTGAACAGAAATGGCTCCAAACAACACATGTTACTCGACTACGCCGATGACATCGATATAATGGGTCGAACATTGTGAGCGATAACAGCCACATTTGAAGAAATCGAGATGGAGTCTGCCAATGTGGGTCTGGCAGTAAACGCGAGAAGACCAAGCTGATGGTATCAACGCGCAATTGGTCCAGTAGACTTGCACCAACTGTGAAACTAGAGAACTACAGCTTCGAGGTAGTTAAAGATTTTATATACCTTGGAACCGCCATAAATAAAACTATTGACAGCAGATTTGAAATTCGGAGAAGGATTGTCATAGCCAACAGATGCTACTATGATCTAAGTAAGCCGGTTAAAAACAAGGCCACCTCCTGCCAGACTAAACTCACACTTTACAAACGCTGTTATATGGATCTAAAGCATGAGTACTTGCGCAAGCAGATGAGGCAGCTCTTGGGATGTTTGAGAGAAAAATTCTCCGAAAGATCTACGGGCCGATCTGCTTCGACGGTGAATATCGGCGTCGAATGAACCACGAGCTTTACAATTTATACGCGGGCATCGACAAAGTCAGTCGTACTACGGTGGCTAGGCCATGTTGTGCGAATGAATGAGAATGCTCCAGCTCAAAAAGCATATAAAAGCGAGCCTACTAATGCTTCCCGTAGAAGAGGAAGGCCACGAAGTAGATGAAAGCACCAAGTAGAAAACAACATCTTGGAACGTGGCCTTTTAAATTGGTGGAGATGCGCACAAGACCAACGGGCATGGAAATCTTATTACTCAATTTCAGGATTCCAGCTCTATCGGTTAACTTTTAATCCAAATTGTACCAAATTTTGTGTCATTTAGTACACATTAGTGGACATTTCCAAAATTGTACCAAATGTTAGCAAATTTCATGATTTCAGCTCTATCGGTTCACCCAAATTCAAATTTGGTACCACTTTGTACTAATGTGTACAAAATGGTATGAATTTCCAAAACTTTCTACATACTACAATCTTACATCGATCGACAAAGATTCTAACTCCAAATTTGGTTCACCCAAAATTTAATTAGTACCAAATTTAGTACACATTAGTACGAATTTCCAAAACTTTCCACAAAGTCCAATTCTACACCCCCCAAAGTGATCGGAACGTCAAATTTCAAAATTCCTGCTCAATCGGTTCACCCAAACCCCTTATTTTGGTACCCTTTAGTAAAAATTTCCAAAAATTCATGCATCGTTTCACCCAAAATTTAAATAGTACAAAATTTAGTTCACTTTAGTAGGAATTTCTAAAACTTCCTAAATAGCTCAAATAGCTAAGGGGAACGAGATAGACATATGGTTCCTTTTGAGAATATGCATAGAATCACTTTCTGAGTCGATATATGCATGTACGTCTGTCCGTCCGTCCATGTATTTTTGTGAACACAGTACAGGTCGCATTTATGATCCGATTTCGATGCAATTTGGCATAGGTCACTTATTTGGCCCAAGAATGAACCCTATTGAAATTTGGAAAAATCGGTGCACATTTAGATATAGCTCCCATATATATTTTCGTCCGATTCTATGTAAATGGTCAACCAAAGTCCCTATATATCCTTCGATTTGCACGAAATTTTACATAACGTACTGAATTGAGCCTAGAATGATGTCTGCCAAGTTTCGCGAAAATCGGTCCAGATTTAGATATAGCTCCCATACATAGTTTCGTCCGATTTCATACAAATGGTGCACCAAAGTCCCTATATATCCTTCGATTTGCACGAAATTTGGCATAACGTACTGAATTGAGCTTTGAGTGATGTCTGCCAAGTTTCGTGAAAATCGGTCCAAATTTAGATATAGCTTCCATATATAGTTTCGTCCGATTTAAGGTAAATGGGTCTCTAAAGTCCCTATATATCTTTCGATTTGCACGAAATTTGGCACAGCGTAATGAATTAGGTCTAGAATGATGTGTGTTAAGTTTCCAGAAAATCGGTCCAGATTTAGATATAGCTCCTATATATATTTTCGTCCTATTTAATGTAAATGGTGAACCAAAGTCCCTATATAGCCTTCGATTTGCACGAAATTTGGCATAACGTACTGAATTGAGCCTTGAGTGATGTCTGCCAAGTTTCGAAAAAATCGGTTCCGATTTCTATATGGCTCCCATATATAGTTTCGTCCGATTTCATGTAAATGGTGGACCAAAGTCGCTATATATCCTTCGATTTGCACAAAATTTGGCATAACGTACTCAATTGGGCCTAAAGTGTTGTGTGCCAAGTTTCGTGAAAATCGGTCCAGATTTAGATATAGCTCCCATATGTAGTTTCGTCCTATTTCATGTAAATGGTGCACCAAAGTCCCTATATATCTTTCGATTTGCACGAAATTTGGCATAACGCACTGAATTGAGCCTAGAGGGATGTCGGTCAAGTTTCGTGAAAATCGGTCAAGTTTTAGATATAGCTTCCATATATATTTTCGCCCGATTTTAAATAAGTTAAGCATCAAACTCCTCATGTTAGTCAGATTGACATCAAATTTTGCACAACGTACAAAATTGAGCATAGAATTACGTAGTTGCGTATTCTAGAAGTACCGACATAGTCCAACGGATGTCCTATTTATATTTGTTTGAAGTCGATTTACATGCTTTTGTCCCATTGTAACAAACGAATGACATGTTTATGGATAGATCTAGGTAGATTCACATTTAGATAAATATCACATATTTTATTTCATCCAATTTCATGTTAGTAGTCCTGTTTAATATTCCCATAGTGGTGAAGGGTATCATATAGTCGGCCCCCTCCGACTTTACTACTTTGCTTACTGGTTTATATTAAAATAGTTATCTGTTTTGTTCCGCGTTTTGAGTTTGCTTCTAATACTCGGATGTAAACATTTCACCTGCGGAGGATATCGAGATAAAAAAGTAGAAAGTAAGGTTCGATAATGAACTTTAGCCCGCATTTAGACCTAGCCCCTGTGTCGAGGTTCCAGAAGGAATGAATCGATATTCCCCAACTTCGAACTTGAACAAAGTTTGGAAGAAGTAATAAGATGGTCAAAGTTCGGATGAGATCTTAATTTTCTGAAACGGATTTGGTTCAAAGAAACATGGGGTCTAAAACCAATATTTCTATGAGGCACATTTTCACCGGGTTAAAGTGTATACACCCTCATTAGCCATATGGCTGAGGGTATAATTCTCCATGAAAACTTTCTGAAATTAGTATTATGGTTTACAAAATCCTTTTTTAGAAATGTCGGTATAGGTCCACTTTTTGGTATGTTTCCTATATTTTCATTTCTAGTACCTGTCAGTATATCTATGGTGGAGAATATCCAAGGTTCGCGCCGCCCGAAGTTAACGCCTTTTCACTTGTTTTAAATTAATTTTTTGGTCATCTATAAAAAATTATTTAAAACAAATTCACGCTTCATGGTCATTTGGGGCTCTATAAAATTGATTTATGCATATACGTTTAATAATAATAAAAAAGACACACGTGGTATGCGGGACAATGTTAATATCATAATAAATATGTTAACGAATATACAAAAAAAAATAATAATAATAAATAAAATTGAAAGTAGAACACAAAAGAAAGCGGAGCAGTATAATCGGAGGGGGCCGATCATAAGATACTTTACACATCTACCACGGAACTGTAACATTCTGCGGCAATACTTCGTGATATCTACACCCTGTTGTCCGATTAGAAGTCAAAAAAAAAAAAAAAATTAAACACTTCCACCCTGATTACAGCCACATTAAATAATATTGTAACTTACCCTCCTACTCCAGCCCGACAGCATGCAAATATTTGCATTAGGGCCAACGCCAAGAGGCCCAACGTCGAACAACAACGTTGACGAGTCATGGCTGCGACAAAATTCGTAATTTCTTAACAAAAAAAAAAAAAAAAAAAATCCGGCACGAAAAAACAACTTAAATCGAAAAAATCTCCCAAGGAGCGCAACTCAAGTTGATCTTGTCGCTTTGAAAGCCACACACCGACTCAATAGAAATCGGCTGTGTAGGGTTATAATGTAATCGGAATGGCATGGATGATGAGTGAGTGGCGGTGTGACCGGCATTCTCTAGCTGACATAATGTTTTGAACTTTGGTTAGATGGGATCGGAACTTCTTATGCTCTCTCTCTTTCTTGGTTGCCATTAAGCCGGTTCGAAAGAAGATGAGTGTTGCCATTTTAATTTATGGGTATTAAAACAAAATATAGGTTTTGAGGTACCCACAGCAGGCGTGAATTTTTAAAAATATTTTACGAGGTATTCAGATTAGCGTGGAATTTGTAAAAATATTTTTCGATGTATTCAAATAGGCGTGGGTTTTTATACCCTTCACCACACTATGGTCCTGGGTATTATGTCTTTGTGCATATGTTTGTAACAGGCAAAAGGAAACGAGATAGACACATGATTCCTTTTGAAAATTTGCATAGAATCACTTTCTGAGTCGATTTTTTGCATGTCCGTCCGTCCGTTCGTCTGCCCGTCAGTCTGTTGATGTTAAATTTCAAACAAAGTACAGGTCGCATTTATCGTTCGATTTGGATGAAATTTAGCACAGCTCATTTATTTGGCCCAAAGACAAAACCTATTGAAATTGGGAAAAATCGGTTTAGATTTAGATATAGGTCCCATATATAATTTCGTCCGATTTATGGTAAATGGCGCACCAAAGTCCCTATATATCTTTCGATTTGCACGAAATTTGGCATAGTGTACTTAATTCGGTCTAGAATGATGTGTGCTAAGTTTCGTGATAATCGGTTTAGATTTAGATATAGCTCCCTTATATAATTTCGTCCGATTTATGGTAAATGGTGCACCAAAGTCCCTATATAGCTTTCGATTTGCACGAAATTTGGCACAGCGTAATGAATTAAGTCTAGAATGATGTGTGCTAAGTTTCGTGAAAATCGGTTCAGATTTAGATATAGCTCCCATATGTACATTCGACCGATTTTAGATGAATGGTGCACCAAAGCTCTTTGTATCTTTCGATTTGCACGAAATTTGGTACAGCATACTGAATTTAGTATAGAATGTTGAGTGGTGAGTTTCGGGAAAATCGGTTCAGATTTAGATATAGCTCCCATATATAATTTTATCCGATTTATGGTAAATGGTGCACCAATGACCCTACATATTCTTCGATTTACACGAAAATTGGCACAGCGTACTGAATTAAGCCTAGAATGATGTGTGCTAAGTTTCGTGAAAATCGGTTCAGATTTAGATATAGCTCCCATATATACATTCGACCGATTTTCGATAAATGGTGCACCAAAGCTCTTTGTAACATTCGATTTGCACGAAATTTTGTATAACGTACGGAAATGAGTATAGAATGATTAGTGACAAGTTTCGGGAAAATCGGTTCAGATTTCGATATAGCTCCCATATATATTTTCATCCGATTTTAGGTAAACAGTGCACCAAAGTCTCTATATATCCTTCGATTTGCACGAAATTTGGTACAGCATACTGAATTAAGTCTAGAATGATGTGTGCTAAGTTTCGTGGAAATCGGTACAGATTAACATATAGCTCCCATATATATAATCGTCCGATTTTAGATAAATGGTGCATCAAAGCTCTTTGTATCCTTCGATTTGCACGAAATTTGGCACAGCATACTGAATTTAGTATAGAATGTTGAGTGGTGAGTTTCGGGAAAATCGGTTCAGATTTTGATATAGCTCCCATATATAATTTCATCCGATTTATGGTAAATGGTGCACCAAATACCCTAAACATTCCTCGATATGCACGAAATTTGACAAAGTGTAGTGAATTAAGCCTAGAATGATGTGTGCTAAGTTTCGTGGAAATCGGTTCAGATTTAGATATAGCTCCCATATATACATTCGACCGATTTTCGATAAATGGTGCACCAAAGCTCTTTGTAACATTCGATTTGCACGAAATTTTGTATAACGTACGGAATAGAGTATAGAATGATTAGTGACAAGTTTCGGGAAAATCGGTTCAGATTTCGATATAGCTCCCATATATATTTTCATCCGATTTTAGGTAAACAGTGTACCAAAGTCTCTATATATCCTTCGATATGCACGAAATTTGACACAGTGTAGTGAATTAAGCCTAGAATGATGTGTGCTAAGTTTCGTGGAAATCAGTTCAGATTTCGATATAGCTCCCATATATATTTTGGTCCGATTTTAGATAAATGGTGCATCATAGCTCTTTCTATCCTTCGATTTGCACGAAATTTGATACAGCATACTGAATTTAGTATAGAATGTTGAGTGGTGAGTTTCGGGAAAATCGGTTCAGATTTCGATATAGCTCCCATGTATATTCGACCGATTTTAGTTAAATGGTGCACCAAAGCTCTTTGTATCCTTCGATTTGCACGAAATTTGGCATAGGGTAATGACTTGAGTCTAGAATGGGTGCCTGATTGTGATTAAATTTTTAAAAGTGCGGCGTACCGAATAGCGTGTATAAATTTTCCTATAAATCGTTTTCCATAAATTTGTCCCATGGTAAACAGACGACTCTTAATCTGCCTGAATGAAATTACATTTAGCATAGATTGCAGAAGGACATGAGTATGTTTCTTCGAGGCAACATTGTCATGCAATTTTAAGGATATTTTTGGAGGCCTATCAATAGGCTAGGACTTTTTAAATTATTATTTTGGACCTTTAAATATTCATACAGAATGCAGGTCTTTTCATCCTTATACAAATGATCGAAGTAGATCACCAGCAGCGAGTTGAAATTTTTCAATTCAACGCTCTGGCAATTGGGAGAAAATAATTGGCAGAAAATAAAAAATCATTAATTGGAAATACATATCTTGAAAAAGTATATTTTAAAAATTACACGCCTATAAATATGCCTCGAAAAATAATTTTAAATAATTTATGCCTAGTTGTAGGCTTTAAAATATGCGAGCCTATCTGAAGGCCTAAATATTTTAAAATAAGCCACTCTTTGTTATATGCCACATTTTTTTGTAAGTTCAAGCCTATAAATATACCTCAACATTTTTTTTTCAAAAATCCGCTCTTATAAATATGCTTAAAAATATTTTTAAAAAAATTCCCGCTTATAAATTTATTTTACTTAAGCCTATAAATATGCCTCGAAAAATAATTTTATATAATCCACGCCAAGTGTTAGGCCCCGACTTCCAAAATATAATTTAAAACCATTAAGGAATGTAGTAAAGTCGGACGGGGCTGACTTGATACCCTTCACCACTATGGGTATATTAAACAGGACTATTAACATGAAATTGGATGAAATAAAGAATGTGATATTTATCTAAATGTGAATCGACTTAGATAAATCGACTTCCAACAAATATCAATAGGTCATCCGTTGGGCTATGTCTGTACTTCTAGAAAATGCAACTACGTAATTCTATGCTCACTTTTGTACGTTGTGCAAAATTTGATGTCAATCTGACTAACATGAAGATTTTGATGTCCAATTTACTTAAAATTGGGCGAAAATATATCTGGAAGTTATATCCAAATATGAACCGATTTCAACGAAACTTGTCGCAGGATAGGTTATACTAATTTCAGTACGTTTTGTTCCTATCAGCCATATATTGGATCCTTTGTGCGTCAATTACTTAAAATCAATCTATAATATAAGGGAGATATATCTAAATCTGGACCGATATTCTCGAAACTTGGCAGACATCACTCTAGGCTCAATTAAATAGGTTATGCCAAATTTCGTGCAAATCGAAGGATATATAGGGACTTTGGTGTACCATTTACCTTAAATCGGACGAAACTATATATGGGAGCTATATCTAAATCTGGACCGATATTCTCAAAACTTGGCAGACATCACTCTAGGCTCAATTCAGTACGTCGTGCAAAATTTCGTACAAATCGAAAGATATATAGGGACTTTGGTGCACCATTTACATGAAATCGGACGAAACTATATATGGGAGCTATATCTAAATCTGGATCGATTTTCTCGAAACTTGGCAGACTTAACTCTAGGCTCAATTCAGTACGTTATGACAAATTTCGTGCAAATCGAAAGATATATAGGGACTTTGGTGTACCATTTACTTAAAATCGGACGAAACTATATATGGGAGCAATATCTAAATCTGGACCGATATTCTCGAAACTTGGCAGACATCACTCTGGGCTCAATTCAGTACGTTATGCTAAATTTCGTGGACTTTGGTGCACCATTTACCTGAACCGATTTTTCCAATTTCAATAGGGTTCGTCTTTGGGCCAAATGAATGAGCTGTGCCAAATTTCATAAATAAAAAATGCGACTTAGAAAGTGATTCTATGTATATTCTCAAAAGGAACCATGGGTCTATCTCGACTCCTTTTGCCTGTTACAAACATATGCAGAAAGACATAATACCCTGTACCGCAGTGTGGTGAAGGGTATACAAATCCCAGCCACTGTAGAGACTTCCAAAAATATGCCTCGAATAATACGTTTTTAAAAACCCACAACTCCGTGAAGACCTCCAGAATTTTTTTTTTCAAATTTCCACGTCACTGTGGAGACCTCGGAAAAATATATTTTTTTCAAACCCCTCTATGAAGACCTGTACAAAATATTTTTCACAAACGTCCTTTCTGATTTGTTCTTATTTCTTTTAATACTTACACTAACTCTCTGCACATCCTCCTTGATCGCGTACAGCCTGTGGTCTTCTACCACATATCCGGAAGGGTTATTAATTTCCAACACGGCCATATTCGAAGTTTCACCCTCACCCTTATATTCCACACAGACATTCATTAGCAGGGGGGATTTTTGACCGGGCTTTTGTTTCTCTGTGGTAATCTCAAAACTGGTCTGTTCCTTTTCCAGGATATCACATTGATAGGCTATTTGGACCATGGCTGCGCCACTACCCTTGGCTGAGAACTCCACGCATTTGGTTGTATCGGGCATCTGAAAAAAGTGGAAAAAATTCATTACGTCCTGGGTTTGAAGTTCTTCCTCCTTGGACTTACCTCCACATTTTGATAGAGAATATCATTTTCCTCGGTGAGCTTGAGGGTTTCCTGTTTCTCTTTGTCGGCACCCTTGGAGGCTATGTCCACGATCATTTTTGCCGGTTCATAGTCAGCCAATTTTGCGAATTTTATAAGAGCCTGTAGACCCAACACAGTGTCCTGGGTGGAGATAAAACCACCATAGCTATTACGCTGGGCAATAAGCCATCTAATTATCGGCAGGATTTCATCCATATTGGGTGAGGGTTGATTGAGCAGGTTTAGCAGGGCATATAAGCTAATTTCGACATCAGTGCTATCGACAATAAACTTTAGTGGTCCATTGGACCACCATTTACGATCACCATCAGTTACGGCCAATGAATTCAATTTTGTCAACTTTTCTCCAGCCATGGTGTGGTGGGCCCTATCCAGGGTATAGGTTGCAATTGCCTGGGCATGAAGGGATTCAGATTTCTCCGAATTTTCGTTAATGAACTCCAAAGCCTTTGTGATTTCTTGCGAATATTTCTCAGCATAGGTCTTATTTTCCAGCAGGGCCAATAGGACAGAACTTGTGAGGGACACGTGATTGCCTTGATCTGCATAGAAGAAGAAGTCTTGAGATTTATCGGTAAATGAACCATTTTTGGCCTGTTGATGGACCAGGTATTCCAAGGAGTTTTCAATGAATTTCGGATAAACTTTGACGTAGTGCTGCAATTGGATTAGGGATCTGGTCACATAGGCTGTCAGCCAGGTGGAACCATTATTCACCTGGTCATTAAGTCTGTGGGGTCCAAAGGAGCTAAAGGAGCCATCGGGATGGCGATAGTTGAGCATGTGTTGGTAGCCAGTTTCCATGTTGTAAAGTAACTTCGTTTCCATATTGGGGGTCAGGCGTTTGCTGTTCTGTGGGAGAGAGAGGAGAGAGTGTGGCTAAGCCAAAGACAGCTTGAGAGAATGATGTAGAACCGAACTTACCTCCAAATATTTCACAACCAAATAACTCGACAGCAAAGTGGACATGGCCTGTTCCCCGCCCTTTTTGGGTAGGCGTACCAAATTATTCAGATTATTGACGACGGGACCCAAAATATCACCCACAACCCCGACCTCAACATGCTGCGAATCGGGTATAATCTCCGCAAGCAATTCCAGTTCAAAGGACGATTTCATTTCTGCCTCCTTGTTGAGATTGACGAAGAAGGCTCGATTACCATATTTGGTAATGCCTTCGGGTACAACCTTCAACGATTTGTGGACGACATCTCCGGCCATTGGAGAAATGGCGGTGTACTTCAACATGACATTGCCCAAAACTTTAGGGCGGATCATAAAGGAAACTTCTGCGGTATCCATAGCAGGAACTCGAACCATCTTCGTACGTGATTGATCGCCAATTACTTCGTTGGTGATTTCGGTAAACTCAAATTCATTGTCGCTATTATCCAAGGTGACCTCAACATCGAGAGTTTTGTCCAAATAATTGAAGACCAGGGCGGGGGTGTTGATGACCTCACCTGGAAAAAAAATTAAAAAAATATATTTTTTATTTATTGTCAAAAAATCCGCGCCTTGTATAGAACCTATAAAACCTTGAAAAATATCCCTTGGGTGAGACCACCAAAAATGAAACTTAAAAAATTCATGACTTGGTTGAGAAATTCAAAAATATTTTTTACAAATTTATCGATTCTCACCTCTCTTAACGGAATATGGCAGCCGTATGGAAATGAAAAATGGTTTGATGGTGGTAATCTTTGTTTCTTCGCCAGTCACCGCCAAACCCTTTTCACTGTTCATAGCAAAGCCGGTCAACACCCATGAGTCAATGGTATCGGGGATTTTCTTGGACCAGGTAAATTCTTCCTTGTCAGTGCTAAAGAAAAAAAACATAGAAATCAGCTTGTAAAAAAATTTTCTCCGACAAAATGTCATCCCGCCACCACCTACTTTTCAATATTATCAAATATCCAGGTCTCAGCTAAATATCTGGGAATATAGTAGACTCCAAGTTCTCCCACAACTTCAGCGCCAGGGTTATAGGTTGGTGGTACATTTTGCTGGTCATCTTCCAAATCTGCAGAATCTGTTTTAGCGGTCCAATTATAGAAATAATCACCATTTGTCAGGGTAATACAACCGGATTTGGAACCAGGATAATAAGACGAGCTACCCTGAAGAGGGGTGCTGGTGTCATAGGAATCCACAATCTGGCTTAGACTACTGACACTAATGGCATCGTTCCTCTCCCACAGCGGGACACTTTGATCCACCGCCATGAGTCCGACAAGCGAGTTGGGGGCAGTTTTAATTTTCAGAGTGACTTCCTGGCCGGGTTTGACTTGTTTACAAAATCATCAAAAATTAATTTGAAAAAAAAATCCAAGTCTGAGGCTAAGCCCTTAAAAAATGAATTTAAGAAACAGACCTCTTGTTACGCCTTGAAAATATATTTAAAATATATATCGGTATACTTAAAGGTGGGTCTAGGACCAATATTTCGCGGCGTTACAAACGTTTGGGGCTGCACAAAGCTATAATACACTGACAACATAGTTGTGTAGGGTATAAAAATCCATATGGCCACCAAAGATAATTAAAACCAGTACAGAAAGTAGTAAAGTCGGGCGGGGCTGACTATATGATACCCTTCATCACATTGGCTATATCCAACAGATGAATCCTAACAGACGTCGAATTTTTTGAAGGACCAGGGAAAGAATATGTAATTCAATTTAAAACAAATATATATATATATATATATAAACTACATCGAAATCTAAGCCGATTTCAACAAAACTTGCCAAATGTTTTGCTATAGTAACTTCAGTACGTAGTGCAAAAATTTGTGCCGATCCCACTTTCGTGAAGCATTTATATCCAACTTCTAGGTTATACGAACTCCAGTACGATGTTCAGTATGTGCAATATCAAAATCTGCACCGATATTCAGGAAACTAAACACACATCATTCTGGACTTAATTCATTACACTATGTCAAATTTCGTGCAAATCGAACGATATATATGGACTTTGGTACACCATTCACATTAAATCGGACGAAAATATATATGGAAGCTATATCTAAATCTGCACCGATTTTCAGGAAACTTAACACACATCATTCTAGACTTAATTCATTACGCTATGCAAAATTTCGTGCAAATCGAGGAAGCTATAGGGTCTTTGGTGCACCAAGTACATTAAATTGGACGAAAATATATATGGGAGCTATATCTTAATCTAAACCGATTTTCACGAAACTTAACACACATCATTCTAGACTTGATTCATCACGCTATGCCAAATTTCGTTCAAATCGAATGATATATAGGGACCTTGGTACACCATTTACCTTAAATCGGAGGAAAATATATATGGGAGCTATATCTAAATCTGAATCACTTTTCAGGAAATTTAACACACACCAGTCGAGACCTAATTCAGTACTCTTTGCCAAATTTCGTGCAAATCGAAAGATATATAGGGACTTTGGTACACCATTTACATGAAATCGGACGAAACTATATATGGGAGCTATATCTAAATCTGGACCGATTTTCTCGAAACTTGGCAGACATCACTCTAGGCTTAATTCAGTACGTTATGCCAAATTTCGTGCAAATCAAAAGATATATAGGGACTTTGGTTCACCATTTACATTAAATCGGACGAAAATATATATGGGAGCTATATCTAAATATAGACCGATTTTCTCGAAACTTGGAAGACATCATTCTAGGATCAATTCATTACGTTATCTGAAATTTCGTGCAAATCGAAAGATATATAGGGACTTTGGGGCACCATTTACATGAAATCGTACGAAACTATATATGGGAGCTATATCTAAATCTGCACCGATTTTCAGGATACTTAACACACACCATTCTAGACCTAATTCAATACTCTATGCCAAATTTCGGGCTATATCTAAATCTGAACCGATTTTCAAAAAACTTCACACATATCATTTTAGACCTAATTTAATACTCTGTGCCAAATTTCGACCAAATCGAAAGATATATAGTGACTTTGGTACACCATTTACATTAAACCGGACGAAAATATATATGGGAGCTATATCCAAATCTGAACCGATTTTCAAGAAACTTAACACATATCATTCTAGACCGAATTAAGTACGTTAAGCCAAATTTCGATATTATATTGTTTACAATTCAAAATCAACAGACGGACGGACGGACAGACGGACATGCGTAAATCGATTAAAAAAGTGATTCTATGCATATTCTCAAAAGGAACCATGTGTCTATCTTGTTTCCTTTTGCCTGTTACAACCATATGCACAAAGACCTAATACCCTGTACCACAGTGTGATGAAGGGTATACAAAAACGCCTTTATAAGATCAAAAAAAAATATTTTTAGAAAATACGCACCTCTTACAAGGCCTCGAAAGAAAGTGTTTCAAAAAAATCACGCCTTTCTGAATCCTAGAGAAATTATTTTTCAAAAATTTAATTTTATTTATTTTTTGTTGGTGTTTCCCACGTGTTTGGAAATTAATTCCAATGAAGATAAACATTTCAATTTATATGCAAATTTTATGATTCGTAGTAGCCCAGAACCAAATTTCAATTCATTTTTTAATCCGTTTTTTGTTAATTTGCCATTTCAAAAATGGTCATAACAATTGTCACTTTCTTTTACTTGTTTAAATTTTTCTTAGTTTCTAAAAAAATTTTCAAAAATAATAAACACCTCGATTAAAGCCGCATTAAATAATATTGCAACTTACCCTCCTACTCCAGCCCGACAGCATGCAAATATTTGCATTAGGGCCAACGCCAAGAAGCCCAACGTCGAACAACAACGTTGACGAGTCATGGCTGCGACAAGATTCGAAATTTCTTAAACAAAAATAATCCGGCACGAAAAAAATTTAAATCGAAAAAATCTCCCAAAGTGGGAGCGGAACTCAAGTTGATGTTGTCGCTTTGAAAGCCACACGCAGACTCAATAGAATTCGGCTATGTAGGGTTATAATGTAATCAGAATGGCATGGATGGTGAGTGAGTGAGTGGTGGTGAGACCGACATTCTCTAGCTGACATAATGTTTTGAACTTTGGTTAGATGGGATCGGAACTTCTTTTGCTCTTTCTTTTGGGTGCCATTAATCTGGTTTGAAAGAAGATGTGTGTTGCCATTGTAATTTGGGCGATTAAAACAAAATATAGGTTTTGAGGTACCCAAACAAGGTGTGGATTTTTTTAGAAATAAATTTCGAGGTATTCAAAAAGACGTGGATTTTTTTAGAAATAATTTTCGAGGTATTCAAATACCTCTCCCTACCAAAAATTATTAATATTCGCCCCCCTTTTTTGGTGTAGTCCCCATATAACTCCCTTTTAATAGCCTCCGCCATAGTATATAGGGTATATTAATTTTGTTTTTAACCCTATAAAGTATATAAATTCTTGATCAGCGTAAAATTATAAGACGATCTAAGCATGTCAGTCTGTCCGTGTGTTGTAATCACTCTAGCGTCTAAACGTATTGAGATAGATAGCCAACATTTTGCACAGAGTCGTCTTTTGCCTGCAGGCATGTTCGAAGTTCGAAGATTATAACGAGTGGTTTTAACTAAGGCTGAAGTAAGCTCAGTCGGTGCCATCGGTCAACCTAAGGACCCACAAACCTTAAGAGGACCCCCCCCCCCCCATTCTCGGGGTCAAAATTTTTGTGGATATAATTCGAATCTACACTGATTAAAGAATGTCTCTACAAAATTTCAAATGAAAATCTCAAGAACTCTTGAAGATATATCCGATTTATTGTGTCCGCATCAAGTGACGGCTGAAGGGCTTCTCAAACTTTAAACGCGTTTTTCTCTAAACATTTTTTTGCGAATGGCGGGCACGATAACTCAAAAACTAATAATCCAATCCGTTCCAAATTTTGCAACGTTTCTCTGGGAGTGTATAGCTCTCGTATGAACTAGGAACTTTTTTAACTTGGTTTTTGGTAAAAAATCGGCGATTTTCCAAAAATATTTTTTCAAAGGTCCACCATTTTGTTAATTTTAGAGCGAAGTCAATAATCCTAGTTCATACGAGAGCCAGACATGTACTCTTTCTATCACCGTCGGAATTTTCGGATTCCGATGTTCCAGTTAGGAGTTATCATGCCCGCCATCAAAAATAAGGACTTTTCTTTAATTACAAAAAACAACAACAATACAATAACAAATTTTTTTTTGTAAATTATTTTTCTTCTCTTTTAAATCTTCCATTATATATGTGCATAGTTACAAACCTTAACAAGCATTGGTATTGATTTACCAGCCCATTGAAAATCTTGAAAAAATAATATCGAGAATGGGGGGGGGGGTTTCCCTTAAATAAAAACACGAGTGATTACAATTTCAATCTTTACTATAATACTCTGGTGTTTACAATATGAATAATTGTTTGGATGTCAGATACGATTTTATGTTGGAATCCTCTGATCGGTAATGATAGCTGGGTATGGAGGTCGGATCGTTAATAGCCGACTGGTAACAGTCGGCTCGGGCATACTCGGTTAAGTGAAGTCGGCTCGTAACTAAACGGTTGGTTGGTATTCGGATTTGTTGTGGTCGGCTCGAAGGTGTTCGGCTGGCTACAGTCGGCTCGAAGATACTCGGCTAGCTGATGTCGGCTCGTCGGCTAGCTACAGGCGGCTCGAAGATACTTGGTTAGCTGATGTCGGCTCAAAGATACTTGGCTAGCTGCTGTCGATTCGTTGGAGATGGGATGGCTACAATCGGCTCGTTGCAGATCGGCTGGCTACAGTCGGCTCAAAGATACTAGGCTAGCTGATGTGGGCACGTTGGAGACCGGCTGGCTATAGTGGGCTCGAAGATACTCGGCTAGCTGATGTCGACTCTAAGATACTTTGCTTGCTGCTGTCGGTACGTTGGAGATCGGCTACAATCGGCTCGATGATACTCGGCTAGCTGATGTTGGCTCGTTGAAGACCGGCTGGCTGCAGTCGGCTCAAAGATACTCTGTACGTTGGCTGGCTACCGTCGGTTCGTTGGTGATCGGTTGCGTGTAGTCGGCTCGTTGTTGGTCGGCTGGTTTGGGTTTTTCAGGGTTCAGTTTTGAGCGGGGGAGCTGGCAAAGAGCGAGGAACTGGCAAAGAGCGAGGAGCTGGCTAAGAGCGAGAAGCTGGCAAAGAGCGAGAAGTTTTCAAAGAGAGAGGAGCTGGCTATGAGCGAGGAGCTTGCAAAGAGCGAGGAGCTGGCAGAGAGTCAGGGGCTGGCTATGAGCGAAGAGCTGGCAAAGAGCGGGGAACTGCTATTAGCGAGGGGCTGGCAAAGAGCGGGGAGCTGGCTATGAGCGTGGCCCAACCGTTGTTAACATCCACAAACATCCACGAGACTGCGGACAAGCCACACATCTTCATCACTCGTAGTTCGTTAACGTCCGAGGTCGACCACTTCGGCATGGGAAAGTGGAACATATATATGCGTATGGTACTATGAAGTGAATGAGAATTATTCTGTACTTCAGAAAAATTGTCTGTCGATTAATGCACTGAAGTTGAGGAGCACAGGTAATGATACCGGCTCAGGTTTACAGTGAGACGTTATTCACTACTAAATATTGATGTGGGTTGACATTTACTTGGGTAACTTGGCTGGCAAAGAGCGGGGAGCTGACAAAGAGCGGGGAGCTGGCTATGAGCGAGGAGCTTGTAAGAGCAAGGAGCTGGCAATGAGCGAGGAGCTGGCAAAGTGCAAGAAGCAGGCAAAGAGCGGGGAGCTGGCTATGAGCGTGGCCAAACCGTTGTTAGCATCCACCAGTATACGAGACTGCGGACAAGCCACACATCTTCGTCACTTGTAGTTCGTAAACGTCCGAGGTCGACCACTTCGACATGGGAAAGTAGAACATATATCCGTATGATACTATCAAGTGAATGAGAATTATTCTGTTCCTCAAGAAAATTGTCTGTCGGTTAATGCAATGATGTTGAAGAACACCGGTAATGATACCGGCTTAGGTTTACAGTGAGACGTTCGTTATTCACTACTAAATATTGAGGTGGGTTGACATTAACTTGGGTAATGTATAATGTATGAAACGGTCACGTTACAAGATGGGATATATCGGTCCAAGTCCCCATATAACGGTATCTCCCAATTTTCAGTATTCTGAAAGGTTTGATCGTATTTTTCCACCGAATTTCTCCACAAAAAATTATGAACATTTTTACGGATAGCCCCCATATAAGGGTACCCCCCCAATTTTCAGTATTTTGGGGTTCTTGAGCGCGTTTTTCAACCGAATTCGCTGAAATTTGGTATTTTGTAGTCGTATAAGGTAACAAATCTCCCTACCAAAAATTTTTAATATTCGCCCCCTTTTTGGGTTAGTCCCCATATAACCCCATTTATTATATTAAAATAGTTATCTGATTTGTTCCGCTTTTGGGTTTTGTTCTTGGCTCTGTTGTAATCATTTCACCTGCGGTGGATATTAAGATAAAATGATAGAACGTAAGGTTCCATAATTAACTATATATGAACTATAACCCGCGTTTAGGCTTAGCCCCTGTGTGGGAGGTACCAGAAGGAGAGGATCGATATTCCCCATCTCCGAACTTGAACTAAGTTTGGAAGAAATAATAAGATGGACAAAGTCTGGATGAAATCAAAATTTTCTAAAACAAATTTGGTCCAAAGAAACATGGGGTCTAGAACCAATATTTCCATGAGGCACATTTTCACCTTGGTAAAGTGCATACACCCTCATCAGCCATAAGGCTGAGGGTATAATTATCCATTAAAAATTTCTGAAATTATGGTTTATGTAATGGGTTTGTAGAAAAGTCGGTATAGGTCAACTTTTTGGTATATTCCCTATATTTTCATTTCAAGTACCTGTCAGTATATCTATGGTCGGGGGTATCCAAAGTTCGGCCCGGCCGAACTTAACGCTTTTTTCACTTGTTTATATTTTATTTTAAATTATTTTTATGTTTTATTTATTATTTATAAACTATTTAAGTAAATCGTATAAAAAACAAACTATACAAAAAACTCGCATCCCATAAACAACTAGAACATCGACTACAAAATCCGACATTCATCATCGCTGGATTCCATTTACCGATAATCTCTTAAAGCTTCGTTTTGAGGGATCTCTATTTGCTGTCTTTATTTGCATTTACTGCACTCCTCTTCGCCTTCACAAATATCACAGAGTTTCGATTCAACTTCATAAAAATCGGTTGCCTTCTTATTCGAATCGTAATAATCATAGACCCGGATGACAGCAGGTTTTTGCATAGCAACAGCATGGGCACGAATGGCCTCGTACAGAATACAGGTCTTTTGATCCTTATACAAATGATCGAAGTAGATTACCAGCAGAGAGTTGGAATTTTTCAATTCAACGTTCTGAAAAAAATGGAAAATACAAATTAGTAATAGAAAATAATATTTAAAAAATATAAAAAAAAACTGAAAATTTATTTTAAAAAATGTTTTTCAAATATTTTGTTTTTAAATCATAAAAAACATTTTGGAATAAAAAACTGTGGAGTCCATATTTTAAAAAATGCTTTTTAAATTATGCCTCTAATAGTTTTTAAAAAATCCACAACTGTACAAAATTTTTTCAAATTTCCACAAATATCCTTTGAAGACCTGCACAAAATATTTTTCACAAATATCCTTTCTGATTCGCTCATATTTTTTTAATACTTACACTAACTCTCTTCACCTCCTTGATGGCGGGCAGACTTTCATCTTCGACCACATATCCCGAGGGGGTATTAATTTCCAACACTGCCATATTTGAAGCTTCACCCTCACCCTTATATTCCACACAGACATTCATTAGCAGGGCGGATTTTTGACCGGTCTTTTGTTTTTCGGTGGTAATCTCAAAACTGGGCTGTTCCTTTTCCAGGATATTATATTGATAGGCAATTTGGACCATGGCAGCGCCACTACCCTTGGCTGAGAACTCCACGGATTTGGTTTTATCGGGCATCTGAAAAAAAGAGAAAACAAATTCATTACGTCCTGAGTTTAAAGTTCCTCCTCCTGCTTAGACTTACCTCCACATTTTGATAGAGAATATCATTTTCCTCGGTGAGCTTGAGGGTTTCCTGTTTCTCTTTGTCGGCACCCTTGGAGGCTATGTCCACGACCATTTTTGCCGGTTCATAGTCAGCTAATTTGGCGAATTTTATGAGAGCCTGGAGACCCACCACAGTGTCCTGGGTGGAGGCAAAACCACCATAGCTATTACGCTGGGCAATGAGCCATCTAATTATGGGCAGAATTTCATCCATATTGGGTGAGGGTTGATTGAGGAGGGTTAGCAAGGCATAGGAGCTAATTTCCACATCACTGCTGTAGACATATAGCCACCATCTACGCGTCAGAGGTCTATCCGAGCTTGACCACCATTTACGATCACCATCAGTTTTGACCAAAGAATTCAATTTTGTCAACTTCTCTGGGGCTTTGGCATGGTGGGCCCTATCCAGGGTATAGGTGGCAATAGCCTGGGCATGAAGGGATTCAGATTTCTCCGAATTCTCGTTAATAAACTCCAAAGCCTTTGAGATTTCTTGCGAATATTTCTCAGCATAGGTTTTATTTTCCAGCAGGGCCAATAGGACCGAACTTGTGAGGGACACGTGATTGGCTTGGGCCGCATAGAAGAAGCCTTGAGATTTTTCCGTAAATGAACCATTTTTGGCCTGTTGATGGACCAGGTATTCCAAGGAGTTTTCAATGATTTTCGGATCAACTTTGATGTAGTCCTGCAATTGGATTAGGGATCTGGTCACATAGGCTGTCAGCCAGGTGGAACCATTATTCAGCTGGCCATTAAGTTTATGGGGTCCAAAGGAGCTGAAAGAGCCATCGGGATGGCGATAGTTGAGCATGTGTTGGTAGCCAGTTTCCATGTTGTAACGTAACTTCGTTTCCATATTGGGGGTCAGGCGTTTGGTGTTCTGTGGGGGAGAGAGAAAGAGAGGAGAGAGTGAGGATAAGCCAAAGACACTTTGAGAGAATGCTAAAGGGCCGAACTTACCTCCAAATATTTCATAACTAAATAATTCGGCAGCAGTGTGGACATGGTCTGTTCACCACAGCCGGTGGGTAGGCGTACCAAATTGTCGAGATTATTGACGACGGGACCCAAAATATCACCCACAACCCCGACCTCAACATGTTGCGAATCAGGTATAATCTCCGCAGGCAATTCCAGTTCGAAGGACGATTTAATTTCCGCCTCCTTGTTGAGATTGACAAAGAAGGCCCGATTGCCATATTTAGTAACACCTTCGGGTACAACCTTCATCGATTTGTGGACGGCATCACCGGCCACTGGAGAAATGGCGGTGTACTTCAACATGACATTGCCCAAAACTTTAGGGCGGATCATAAAGGCAACCCCGGCGGCACCCATAGCAGGTACTCGAACCATCTTCGTGCGTGATTGATCGCCAATTACTTCGTTGGTGATTTCGGTAAATTCAAATTCATTGTCGCTATTATCCAAGGTGACCTCAACATCGAGGGTTTTGTCCAAATAATTGAAGACCAGGGCGGGGATGTTGATGACCTCACCTGGAAAAAAATTATGTTTTTTTATTTTCAAAAAAAATATTTTTAAAAAATCTACGCCTTGCATAGATCCTTGACCCATTCTCACCTCTCTTAACGGAATATGGCAGACGTATGGAAATAAAGAATGGCTGGAAGGTCGTAATCTTGGTTTTATCACCCGTCACCGCCAAACCCTTTTCACTGTTCATGGCAAAGCCGGTCAACATCCATGAGGTAATGGTATCGGGTATTTTCTTGGACCAGGTAAATTCTTCCTTGTCAGTACTAAAGAAGAAGAAGAAGAAACAGGAAATCAGGGTTAATAAAACTTCTCCAACAAAATATCCTCCCATCACCACCTACTTTTCAATATTATCAAATATCCAGGTCTCTGCAAAATCTTTGCGAACCTGTACAGCGCCACTACCACCAAAACCTCCCGCAGCTCCAGCAAATCCAGCAGCACCTGATGCTGCCATAGGCTGGCCAGCTCGTGTACCCGAACCTGTCTGTGGTATAGAATCATTTTCAACTTGTCCTCGTTCAACGGCCGCAAATGGCACTACTAAAACAAAAACATACCTTTAATGTGGTCGATGACGCATATTTTCGGTGCGCTATAAACTCACTTGTCATATAATCCGGTTTGGTCCAATTATAGAAATAATCACCATTTGTCAGGGTAATACAACCGGCAATGGTACCAGGATAATAAGAATAGCCACCCTGATGAGGGGTGCGCGTGACATAAGAACCCACAGTCCAGCCGAATTCACTGGCACGAATATCATTGTTCGATCTCAAGAGCAGAACACTTTGGTCCACAGCCATGAGGCCGACAAACGAATTGGGGGCTGTCTTAATTTTCAAGGCAACTTCTTGGCCGGGTTTGACCTGCTCGGCGGCAGTGATGTTGATCTGGAAAAAATGAAAAAAAAAATAAATAAAATTTTGAACTTAAAAAATTAATTTAAAGAAAAAAATTGGAGGTTCTCAAGAGGCCATGAAAAATTTTTTTTTAAAAAATCCACGCCTATCTGAAGGCCATGAAAAAAATTATTTAAAAAATCCACGCCTATCTGAAGGCCATGAAAAAAATTATTTAAAAAATCCACGCCTATCTGAAGGCCATGAAAAAAATTATTTAAAAAATCCACGCCTATCTGAAGGCCATGAAAAAAATTATTTAAAAAATCCACGCCTATCTGAAGGCCATGAAAAAAATTATTTAAAAAATCCACGCCTATCTGAAGGCCATGAAAAAAATTATTTAAAAAATCCACGCCTATCTGAAGGCCATGAAAAAAATTATTTAAAAAATCCACGCCTATCTGAAGGCCATGAAAAAAATTATTTAAAAAATCCACGCCTATCTGAAGGCCATGAAAAAAATTATTTAAAAAATCCACGCCTATCTGAAGGCCATGAAAAAAATTATTTAAAAAATCCACGCCTATCTGAAGGCCATGAAAAAAATTATTTAAAAAATCCACGCCTATCTGAAGGCCATGAAAAAAATTATTTAAAAAATCCACGCCTATCTGAAGGCCATGAAAAAAATTATTTAAAAAATCCACGCCTATCTGAAGGCCATGAAAAAAATTATTTAAAAAATCCACGCCTATCTGAAGGCCATGAAAAAAATTATTTAAAAAATCCACGCCTATCTGAAGGCCATGAAAAAAATTATTTAAAAAATCCACGCCTATCTGAAGGCCATGAAAAAAATTATTTAAAAAATCCACGCCTATCTGAAGGCCATGAAAAAAATTATTTAAAAAATCCACGCCTATCTGAAGGCCATGAAAAAAATTATTTAAAAAATCCACGCCTATCTGAAGGCCATGAAAAAAATTATTTAAAAAATCCACGCCTATCTGAAGGCCATGAAAAAAATTATTTAAAAAATCCACGCCTATCTGAAGGCCATGAAAAAAATTATTTAAAAAATCCACGCCTATCTGTAGGCCATGAAAAAAATTATTTAAAAAATCCACGCCTATCTGAAGGCCATGAAAAAAATTATTTAAAAAATCCACGCCTATCTGAAGGCCATGAAAAAAATTATTTAAAAAATCCACGCCTATCTGAAGGCCATGAAAAAAATTATTTAAAAAATCCACGCCTATCTGAAGGCCATGAAAAAAATTATTATTATTAGTTTTAAAATATCTGCAGGACTCCTTACCTTATTCTCCAATTCGTAGTCAATATAATAGGTATCCTCCGCATAGTGATATTCACCCTGCTCATCAATATAATAAATATAAATCGAGAACCGTGGAGAATACACCAATTCCGGTGTGATGGTGATATTGTGCACCATGGGCTTCTGAGGTAAATCGATATGTCCCGACTTGACAATATTACCCCGGGCAATAACATTATAATCCAAATAGGCCAGGGGTTTGCTGGAGTTCACTGTGAAATGTTCAGGCTGGAATAATTTGGGCCTAGAAAGAAGGAGAAAAAAATCACTTATTTGTAGATCCAGTGAAAGGGTCTCCCAAACCTACCGATTATTATAATATTTATCCTCAATTTTAAACCATTCCTTGGGCAACTCCTCAGCTGGTGTATCGACCTTTTTGGGTTCCCGGTATTGATAGGCATTATTGACATCACGTTTTTCATCCCGATATTTGGCCTCAATGTTATAGTAATGGGTATAGCCCTCGTATTCCTTCAGATCGCTCAGCTTTACCTTGAAGGTCACGAAACCTGTCTCATTCATAAAACCATTGAAGCTGTAACTGAGATTTCCCGAAATCGGTGGCATTAGGGTCGTTGTCACCTCCTCATCCTCCATATGGCGGGGCTGATGCCAAGAATTCTTTTCCAACACCTCGGTGTATACCAATTCCACTGGGGTCTTTGTGTCCTTCAAATGTGATCCATCCACATAGGTCAACTGGATCATTACCTCCTTTTCCTTATCCGCCTCAAAGGAGTTACATTCATAATAATGGACACAATGCATGGCATAGCGGTAGGGGTAGATTTGGGTACTGGCGGTGGTGTTGATTTTCACCCCTGTAAATTCCTCTTCCACGGTGGCCACAATACTGGCATAGGTGGAATATTCTTTGCTATGCAAATAAGCCTCCAGCTCCTTGACATTCAGATCAATCTTGGCCTTGCCTTGGATCATATCGCCGGTGCGTATTATGCTGGGTGGTTGTTGTTTTTCATTTTCCGAATTGCGACCGAAGTCGTAGTAGGTTCCCAGGCTGAGGATGACGGTGGCTTTGCCGTTCAAGGGCTTGCCATAGGTGTAGCTGAGGAAAAAAAATCAGCAATTATTAGTATCGAGTGTGCTCCTCCACTACCAAAAAAAATTACTTACTTGGCCCGAACAATAACCTGCATATCACCATCCTTAACCGACACCGACTCGGTGGCCTCAGCCTTTACCACATATTTCGGCAGGACATATTTCTGCACCTCAAAGTACACGGAACGTTCATATTGACCCTTGCTGGACACCACCACACGCCAATTACCCATTACCGGAAATTCGGAAATTTTAAATTGGCCCGTATGCACCCCCTTGACCACTTCGAAATTTTTCAATTCCTTGATGCGATTTCGTTTACCATCTTCCAACCATATCAAAGTATCCTTTTCCGGCACGGCTGGCTTCAAATCCTTATCCAAAAACAATACCCGATAATTGATGGTGTCACCAGGTTTATATAGACCCTTGTCGGTTTGGATCCGAACGTAGGTGTTAAATTTGGCATAACTCAATTTAGTGGAATTTTTAAAATTCTCCAGACAATTGACACCCTCAGCTGTTAGATTGTAGTTACCCTCAGCCAAGGTGGGCACTGCGAACTCAACTTCTTTTATTTCCGAACCTGTGACCTCAACAATTTTACTTTCATTAAAGGAGGGACCGGTAATGCCCACTTTTATTTGGCATGCAGAGTCCACGTGATGTACGGCCACAGCTGCCGTATATTTGTCATTGGAGTGTATGGTACCGGGAGCGATAACGGTATATTTGCTGGAAGAAAAATGAAGAAGAAATACAGATTAGAAACCTTAGGTTGTTTGTTGGAAATTTACTGGCCCCAGGAGGCAAAGGTTATCATGGGAGGGTAGGTTAATTTGTTCTGCAGGTTATCTTAACACCTGGGAGGTGTTCAAATAAATATTCAAATATTAAAAAAAAAATGCAAACATAATTTTCAAAAAATTTGTTCAAGGCCTTCAAATGGGAGTGGATTTCTTTGGAGGTCTCAAAAAAGCAATTAAAATACATTTTTGAGGACCTATCCTTAGGCGTGGATTTTTTAAAATTAATTTTTGAGGGCCAATCCTTAGGCATGGATTGTGGTCATTTGGGGTTCGAAAAAAATTATTTAAAAAATCCACGCCTTGTGGTCATTTGGGGTTCGAAAAAAATTATTTAAAAAATCCACGCCTTGTGGTCATTTGGGGTTCGAAAAAAATTATTTAAAAAATCCACGCCTTGTGGTCATTTGGGGTTCGAAAAAAATTATTTAAAAAATCCACGCCTTGTGGTCATTTGGGGTTCGAAAAAAATTATTTAAAAAATCCACGCCTTGTGGTCATTTGGGGTTCGAAAAAAATTATTTAAAAAATCCACGCCTTGTGGTCATTTGGGGTTCGAAAAAAATTATTTAAAAAATCCACGCCTTGTGGTCATTTGGGGTTCGAAAAAAATTATTTAAAAAATCCACGCCTTGTGGTCATTTGGGGTTCGAAAAAAATTATTTAAAAAATCCACGCCTTGTGGTCATTTGGGGTTCGAAAAAAATTATTTAAAAAATCCACGCCTTGTGGTCATTTGGGGTTCGAAAAAAAATATTTAAAAAATCCACGCCTTGTGGTCATTTGGGGTTCGAAAAAAATTATTTAAAAAATCCACGCCTTGTGGTCATTTGGGGTTCGAAAAAAATTATTTAAAAAATCCACGCCTTGTGGTCATTTGGGGTTCGAAAAAAATTATTTAAAAAATCCACGCCTTGTGGTCATTTGGGGTTCGAAAAAAAATTATTTAAAAAATCCACGCCTTGTGGTCATTTGGGGTTCGAAAAAAAATTATTTAAAAAATCCACGCCTTGTGGTCATTTGGGGTTCGAAAAAAATTATTTAAAAAATCAACGCCTTGTGGTCATTTGGGGTTCGAAAAAAATTATTTAAAAAATCCACGCCTTGTGGTCATTTGGGGTTCGAAAAAAATTATTTAAAAAATCCACGCCTTGTGGTCATTTGGGACTGTATAAAAATTATTTAAAAAATCCACGCCTTGTGGTCATTTGGGGCTGTAGAAAAAATTTTTATTATGACAACATTTTATACAACACACATAGATTTATGTGTGCTTTTTTAAAAAAAGAACACACCTCAAAACCCATCAAACTGCGTGGGATGCGGGCCAATGTTAATATCATAATAAATATGTTAACATCCGAATATGCCAAAACGAAAACAAAACACACAAAACAATCCTCCAAATCCATAATATAAATAACATTAAAATATATACATAAACGAAAAACAACAAAAAACTTTTTGGGTAAATTTATCATCATAAATTTAGAAAGCAATAAAAAATCCAAAAACAACAAATTTAAAAAAATACAAAACTAGTTAAAAAACAAACAAAAAACACCAAAGGCCTTACACATCCATGATGGACCCCCGCTGCCACTTAACTAAGATAGCCGGTCGGCAGATCGGCAGGTTCGCTGGCAGGCTGGCTGGCTATAACAGCTGTAAAACCGCTAAACCAGCAACAAAGCCGCTAAGCACACAAAAACCAGCTATCAGCCAGTGATTAAGTCGCACAATGACAATTACAAATCAAAACACAAATCAGAGGGAGGCAAAAAAAGAAAACAATAGCTTAGCATATTTTATATAGCCCGTGCTAGTTGGTTGATGATTAATTTTTGTGGTTTTGAATATTCGAAATTTTGTTTTTATTGTGGCTATTTTTTTTTTTTTTTTTTGAGAAACACTATTTGCGAATATAAAATTCTAGGCGAGAACAAAAACCTTGAACTTGATGAATGCGGTGATTTCTCATTTACAAATGGCAAATAAATAGTACAGAACGAATTTATTCTATTCTTAAAATATATAAAAAAAAACCAAGCATAGAGGCTGGATAGGCCTTGATAAAAAGTAAAACAAATCACGCGTTGTGGTCATTAAGGGCTCTATAAAAATTATTAAAAAAATCGAGCCTTCCAATCGCTTCATTCAATGTGAAGTGCAAAAACAATAATTAAATTTTTTTTTTTTTTTTTCATTATTATTTGTAAATATTTTAATTTTGATATCCATCAAACTATAACAAATCATATACAACAAAAAAAAAAATTATTTGTCATCAAAATTTAAATAACTGAAAACTAAACTAATTGCCATAATTTGTGCTGACATTGTTCGCAACCTTCATGTGCCGAGGTAATTTCCTGTTCAAAATATTAACAATCTAAATGTGTTGAAAATATCAATTAAGGAACAATAATTAAATATTCCAGCAAAGATCTGACCGATGATTTTTTAATTAATATTTTTATAGAGCCCCAAATGACAACAAGGCGTGGATTTTTTAAATAATTTTTTTCGAACCCCAAATGACCACAAGGCGTGGATTTTTTAAATAATTTTTATACAGCCCCAAATGACCACAAGGCGTGGATTTTTTAAATAATTTTTATACAGCCCCAAATGACCACAAGGCGTGGATTTTTTAAATAATTTTTATACAGCCCCAAAAGACCACAAGGCGTGGATTTTTTAAATAATTTTTATACAGCCCCAAATGACCACAAGGCGTGGATTTTTTAAATAATTTTTTTCGAACCCCAAATGACCACAAGGCGTGGATTTTTTAAATAATTTTTTTCGAACCCCAAATGGCCACAAGGCGTGGATTTTTTAAATAATTTTTTTCGAACCCCAAATGACCACAAGGCATGGATTTTTTAAATAATTTTTTTCGAACCCCAAATGATCACAAGGCGTGGATTTTTTAAATAATTTTTTTTCGAACCCCAAATAACCACAAGGCGTGGATTTTTTAAATAATTTTTATACAGCCCCAAATGACCACAAGGCGTGGATTTTTTAAATAATTTTTTTCGAACCCCAAATGACCACAAGGCGTGGATTTTTTAAATAATTTTTTTCGAACCCCAAATGGCCACAAGGCGTGGATTTTTTAAATAATTTTTTTCGAACCCCAAATGACCACAAGGCATGGATTTTTTAAATAATTTTTTTCGAACCCCAAATGATCACAAGGCGTGGATTTTTTAAATAATTTTTTTTCGAACCCCAAATGACCACAAGGCGTGGATTTTTTAAAGAATTTTTATACAGCCCCAAATGACCACAAGGCATGGATTTTTTAAATAATTTTTATACAGCCCCAAATGACCACAAGGCATGGATTTGTTAAATAATTTTTATACAGCCCCAAATCATCACAAGGCTTGGATTTTTAAAATAATTTTTTTCGAACCCCAAATGACCACAAGGCGTGGATTTTTTAAATAATTTTTATACAGCTCCAAATGACCACAAGCGGTGGATTTTTTAAATAATTTTTTTCGAACCCCAAATGACCACAAGGCGTGGATTTTTTAAATAATTTTTTCGAACCCCAAATGACCACAAGGCGTGAATTTTTTAAATAATTTTTTTCGAACCCCAAATGACCACAAGGCGTGAATTTTTTAAATAATTTTTTTCGAACCCCAAATGACCACAAGGCGTGAATTTTTTAAATAATTTTTTTCGAACCCCAAATGACCACAAGGCGTGAATTTTTTAAATAATTTTTTATATTATATTTTTTATTTATTTATTTTTTTTTTGTATTCGCCACGAGTTTTGAAATTAATTCTAATGAAGATAAATCATTTCAATTTATAATAACCAGTGTTTTTTGCTATTCAATGGCAAGATAATCTTTTATTCTAAATTTTAAAGCATCATTTATTATTTTATAATTGCAAAATTTTATGGCCCGCTTCTGATTCTGAAGTGCCTCAAACCGGATTTAAATTTATTTGATCATTTTTGTATTTTCAAATTAACTAAAATTGTAATTAAAAATTCTCTCATTTTTTATAAAATATTTTTTCTTTTCATTTTTTAATTAATTTCCCAAAAAATATTAAAAATATTTTTTCCCTTTTTTGGTATTAATTTTTAATTTTATTGCCCACTTTTTCTGTTTAGTTGCATGAAAGAAAATAAAATTCTGAGGATCTTGGGTTCTGAGTTTTTCCCCCCCAGCCCAAATGAAATTAAATATTCACAGCAAGTAAATGAACGACTAAACTGTAACCCTGTTTGTTTTTCAGTTAACTGGAGGGGATTTTTTGTTGCTGTTACTGTTGTTGTTACTATTTTTGTTTGTTTTAGTTGTTGGCACAACACTGTTGCACTGTTCGGCGATTCAGCGAAGTGTTTTGGGGAAATCCCAAATGGCCTTCCCAAAAACAAGTCAGAAGAAAAGCAAAACAAAAAACTTTTTGTTTTACACTTGAAAGTAATCAGGTAGTTGGCTTGACAAACATACAAGCCATCAACACACACACTCACTCACACACACTCTCACACACACTTACACACTCATTAAAGCCATATATTAAATAATATTGCAACTTACCCTCCTTCTTCGGCCCGACAGCATGCAAATATTTGCATTAAGGCCAACACCAAGAGGCCCAACGTCGAACAACAACGTTGACGATTCATGGCTGTGACAAGGTTGTTGTTGGTTTTTTGTCAATTCTTCCAATTAACCGCACAAAAATTGCAAGATTCGTATTTTTATTTTATTTTTTTAAAATAATCCGGCACGTAAAAATTTCAATCGAAAAAATCTCCCTTGGGGGGAGGAGAGAATTAAAGTTGATCTTGTCGCTTTGAAAGCCAAACGCAGACTGAATAGAATTCTGCTGTGTAAGGCTATAATGTATTCGGAATGGCATGAATGATGAGTGTGTGTGTGTAGTCGAGTGGCAGAGCGGTTCGTGAGACCGGCATTATCTAGCTGACATTATCTGTTGTACTTAGGTTGGATGGGAGCGTAGCCTCTCTTGCTCTTTCTCTCACAATTAAGCCGGTTTCAAAATTAAACAGAGTTGCCATTTCAATTTTGGGGATTTTAAAAACTAGGATTTTTATTCAAATATTTTTAGGGGCTTTTTCTTGGGGCTGCACAAAGCTATAAAACCCTGACAACATAGTTGTGTAGGTTATAAAAATCCAACCTCGTATTGGGGTTGCAATACAAGGTTGTGTTTTTATACCCTACACAACAATGTTGTCAGGGGATTCTAGCTTTGTGCAACCAAGAGTTTGTAATGCCGCGAAATATTGGTCATAGACCCACTTTTAAGTATACCGATCGTCATATCTCGATTAGCTGAGTCGATCTAGATAGGTGTGTCCGTCCGTCCGTCTGTCCATTATAAATTGTAAACACGATATAGGCCACAGTTATGGACCAATCTTCTCGAAATTTTGCATGTAGGATGGGTTCTGACCAATGAAGACCCCTATTGTTTTTGGTAAAGATCGGTTAATATTTAGGGGTTAAATTGGCCCAAAATTTTATTTTTGTCTGATTTTCTGGTCGCTCCAGTGGCTGCAATTATGGCCCAAACATCGCTAAATTTACATGGAGAAGGGGATCGGGCCGAAGTATAAGCATGCCTATTTTGATAAAGATCGGTCAATATTTAGCGGGTCGTATGAATCCTGACTTTTGTGAGAAAAATTACAAAATTTGTATTCTATAGCGTATAGATTTACCCCTGAAGGACATAGACCCCAGGAGTTGATAGTATATCCAGGGGGAGTGGTTGACCTTTAAATTGATACCAATTCTATTTGTCATATGTAATCGGATGTGGGAGTTACACTTAACTATTTGCAGGTGCTTACGTATTCAGATATTATTTAGTAACCCATTAACATTAGATGGCGGAAATATAGCGCTGATCGCTTTGAGATCTTCCATGAGGATCCAGGTATGGTCAAGGGCAACGTGTATAATTTTCGGTGATGATCAGATAATCATATTAGAATGAAGTGGACCGAAAACTTAATTTTTTATATTTTTTCGAGTCGAACTATTGGCCACAGTTGAAAGCCGAACATCTCAACGCAACCCACGGTGAAGGGAATCTAGACAAGTAATTTGAAGGACTGTACAGAATATTAGTAATATTCGGAAAATAAGTCAGTTCAAGGAAGATCACGAAATGTAGTCCAGGCTCGTAATAAACATCCGCCGAATGTTAGAGTTCTGTGGTAGTTGTATAGGGCATCTGATAGGGCATATAGGGTCTGGTCGCCCCATCCGACTATACTGCTCCACTCACTGGCTTAAAAATATTTTTTTAGAAGACCAATCCAAGGCTTGGATTTTTATACTCTTAACCACACTGTGGTACAGGGTAATATGTCTTTGTGCATATGTTTGTGACAAGCAAAAAGAATCGAAATGGACCCATGTTTCCTTTTGAGAATATACATAGAATCACTTTCTGAGTCCATTTACGCATGTCCGTCCGTCCGTCTGTTGATATTAAATTGTAAACAATGTACAGGACGCATTTATGATCCGATTTGGATGAAATTTGGCAAAGTTCACTTATTTGGCCCAAGGACGAATCCTAATGATATTGGGAAAAATCTGTTCAGATTTAGATACAGCTCCTATATATATATTTTCGTCTGATTTAATGTAAATGGTCCACCAAAGTCCCTATATATCTTTCGATTTGCCCGAAAATTGGCACAGCGTAATGAATTAGTCCTAGAATGATGTGTGTTAAGTTTCGTGAAAATCGGTTTAAATTTAGATATAGCTCCCATATATATTTTCATCCGATTTTAGGTAAACAGTGCACCAAAGTCCCTATATATCCTTCGATTTGCACGAAATTTGGTATAGCCTACTGAATTAAGTCTAGAATGATGTATGCCGAATTTCGTGAAAATCGGTTCAGATTTAGATATAGCTCCCATATATATTTTCATCCGATTTTAGGTCAACAGTGCACCAAAGTCCCTATATATCCTTCGATTTGCACGAAATTTGGTATAGCCTACTGAATTAAGTCTAGAATGATGTATGCCGAATTTCGTGAAAATCGGTTCAGATTTAGATATAGCTCCCATATATAGCGTCCCCCAATTTTAGGTAAATGGTGCATCAAAGTCCCGATATATTGTTCGATTTGCACGAAATTTGGTATAGCCTACTGAATTAAGTGTAGAATAATGTATGCCGAGTTTCGTGAAAATCGATTCAGATTTAGATATAGCTTCCATACATAGCTTCCCCCGATTTTAGGTAAATGGTTTACCAAAGTCCCATATATCTTTCGATTTGCACGAAATTTGGCACAGCGCACTGAATTAAGTCTAGAATGATGTGTTTTAAGTTTCCTGAAAATCGGTTCAGATTTAGATATAGCTCTCATATATAATTTCGTACGATTTAATGTAAATGATGCACCAAGGTCCCCATATATCTTTCGATTTGCACGAAATTTGGCACAGAGTAATGAATTAGGTCTAGAATGATGTGTGCAAAGTTTCGAGAAAATCGGTTCAGATTTAGATATAGCTCCCATATATAGCTTAGCCCGATTTTAGGTAAATGGTGTACCAAAGTCCCTTAATATCTTTCAGTTTGCACGAAATTTGGCATAGCGTACTGAATTTAATGTAGAATGATGTATGCCGAGTTTCGTGAAAATCGGTTCAGATTTAGATATAGCTCCCATATATAGCTTCGTCCGATTTAAGGTAAATGGTGCACCAAAGTCCCTGCAAATCGTTCGATTTGCACGAATTTTGATATAGCGTACTAAATTAAGTTTAGAAAGACGCGTACTAAGTTTCGTGAAAATTGGTTCAGATTTAGATATAGCTTCTATATCTGACCAAATGAAAAATTTAGTATCGGTTGCAGAATGACATGTTTATGGAACCTATTTCATTTTACTGGTCCTTTAAAAATGCGTCGTCTGTTAGGATTCATCTGTGGAATATACCCAAAGTTGTGAAGGGTATCATATAGTCGACCCAGTCCAGCTTTACTACTTTACTTACTGGTTTATATTAAAATAGGTATCTGATTTGTTTGGGTTTGTTTCGAAGACTCTGTTTTAATTCTTTCACCTGCGAAGGATATCGAGAACGTTGAACTATAGTCCACATTTAGGCCTAGCGCCCATATAATGATACCTACCGATTTTTCGGTATTTTTAATATTTAGCGTAAAGAAATGTATTCTAATGCAAAAATGTTAGTTTCGAAATAGAGCTATAGTCTTCAATTAGGCATAGCACCTCATATAATGATATGTACACATGTTCGGTAATTCTATCTAACTCCCCTGTTCCACCAATAAAACCTGTGTACATAACTCCCCGAAATAAATCCTGTATATATAACCCTAATATAACTCTGACCTCTTAATTGCAGTATTTTGGGGACATTCCACCCTACGATGCGTAGCCAATATCGGTCCACTTTCTGGGGGTTTTAAGGGAAAATATCCATTAAAAATTGCTGAAATTTGTATTTGGTGTACATTGAATTTTCGGTATAGGTCCATGTACTCTATATATTGGGTATGTACTCTATATTTTCGATGCTAGTATCTGTTAGCATACCTATGGTGGAGTGTATCCAAAGTTCGACCGGGCCGAACTTAACGCTTTTTTTCACTTGTTAAATATTCCTTTAAGGCCATAATATAGGCATGAGATTTTTAAATATTTTTTTTCAAACTCCTACATTTTTTAAATTATTATTTTTTTTTAAATACGTGGCAACACTGTTTGTAAGTTTTAATTAAAACTCTCTCTCGTTTAGATGCCTCTTTATCTTCCATAATTAATTTGTATGTATTTCCCCTTACAACACACAAAAAGGGAGGGGAAATTCTGATTCGAAGAATTTATGGATAGTACGACTTATACGGAAAAACAGCTGATAATTTGGGAAATTTCGGTCATAATTATAAATTTCAATAAATAATGAAACTTAATTATAATTTTGTATGTATGTTGGTTTGAATGGAGATTCGAATATGCCGTTCGTCTCGGAATTAATTGAAAGTAAAACTTGCATCTCATACACAATGCTTAGGTTGTTGTTTTCCGTTTAGTAGATTTTAAGGTCAGGTAGTGGAGTGGCGAGAATTACAGATCATTTGATCAATTATAGATTGTTGTGGTTTTTCTCAAATGTATATCTTATAGAGGTCCTTTAAAATATATTTTACAAAAAATCCACGACTTGTATAGGTCGTTAAAATATATATATATATATATATATATATTTAATCTATACCTTATATAGGTCCCTAAAAAATACTTTCAAAAAATCCACACATAAGTGCCTTTAAAATATTTTGAAAAAATCCACGAATAGATGCCTTAAAAAATATTTTGAAAAAATCCACGAATAGATGCCTTAAAAAATATTTTTATAAAATCCACGAATAGATGCCTTAAAAATATTTTTTAAAAAATCCACGCCTTGTATAGGCCCCTCCAAAAAATATTTTTAAAAAATCCACGCCTTGTATAGGCCCCTCCAAAAAATATTTTTAAAAAATCCACGCCTTGTATAGGCCCCTGCAAAAAATATTTTTAAAAAATCCACGCCTTGTATAGGCCCCTCCAAAAAATATTTTTAAAAAATCCACGCCTTGTATAGGCCCCTCC